TGTATTAGAAATAACTTCATAAATACTTTAGTGACTGTTTTACATATACATACCCATTTTGTAATCTTAAGGGGAGATGTCATAATATATGCTAACTTACTACCAAAACTGTGATTGTTTTTAATTGATGCAAACAGTATTATCAGTAAATGTAGGTATTTGCCTGTCCGACAAAATAATGAGATAATGTACTGATACACATCTATGTAGCATAGATTAAGGTTTTACTTGTTATTGTATGTTGCATTTATCATGCAAAGTTGTAGTAAATTGTGACAGATTTATATGCATCCATAGGTACAAATGAAGTTCTAAATGGGTCTATAGTTTCTACGATGAAACTTGAAAGGAAGCTGGCCTCAGTAGAGGTGTGGTCTCCTTAATGCTGGACGAAGTTAATGGATTGGTGTTCAAGCTGTGTTGAGTGTCAACAAAGAAAGTCCCCGAAAACCAAACCAAAAGCTCCACTAACTTGTATTCCAGTGAAGGGGAGACCATTTGAGGAAATTGCCATGGACTTTGTCGAATTACCACCCACGTCACGGGGTAATAAATATGCCATGGTGGTGGGTGATTACCTGACTAAATGGGTTGAGGCCTATCCCATGAAAGACATTAAAACTGAGAGAACAGCGTCACTACTGGTCCGGGAATGGATATCAAGGTTTGGTTGTCCAGTCAGTATAAATTCAGACCAGGGGTCTCAATTCGAAAGTAGACTGTTTAAAGAGCTATGCAGGGTACTTGAAACCAAGAAAAGAAGGACCACTTCATATCATCCAAAGACAGATGGCATGATAGAGAGGAATAATAAAATGTTGATCAACTCTCTCTCCATATTTGCAAAAGAAAACCGTGACTGGGATCTAAAGCTACCTCTAGTCCTCTTTGCATATAGAACAAGTGTTCATAGTTCTACAGGGTTTTCGCCATTCATGCTGACCTTTGGCAGAGAAGCTCATTTACCCATAGACTGGATGGTTGGTGAAGCTTACCCAATTGAAAGGGTCTCTGCACAATCTTGGGTGGCTACTCTTCAGAGGGATATGAGGAAGGTATTTAACTTGGCTCAAGACAACATCAGTAAATCTCAGAAGCGACAAAAGGCTCAATATGATAAGGATCTCAAAGGAACGTTCCAGAAATATGAACATGGTGACAAAGTCATGCTGTTTGACCTAACTGCACGTGGAAAAGATGGGAAGCTTCATAATCCATGGAAAGGGCCATTTAAAATCTTAAAGCGCACATCTGATGTCACATATAAGGTGGACTTAGGCAACAAAGTTATCCATGTGAATTATGATAGGCTCAAGAAGTTTATCAGTAGAAGAAACTTCAACACCAATCAAGCTGATATTGAAAAACCCACACAAGATGGGAAAGCCAAGGGGTTGTCCATTCATTTGCATGGGTCAGATAGTGAAATTGACATTTCCAGTTCAGATGAGGAATGGGAAGATGATGTTATTATCAATAACAGAAATAACCATGAAGGTGGAGAACAAGAGACTGTCCGAGTTACCAATCATCTCTCTAGTGAGGAAGATGATCTGTCTGGGGAGGAAGATGATACTTCTTCAGAAGCTAACTTTCATGAGTTGTCGCAAGATGATGAGGAACAGTTTTGGGATGAAGAACAGGAACTGCCATATGGTAAATCCCAATATACTGTGAATTTTCCCAAACACCATTGTGAGGTCAGCAATAAAAACATTTTGCCAGCAGGTAGTAAGCGCAGCTGTACTAAGCACAAATAAATTCATGGGATAGTGTAGGTCAAGGAAGGGAGGAATGTAATATGGTATATTTTTATGTGTTTTCAGGTATAGAGTATAGTAGATTATTCTTCCCAGTGGCCTTATACTAACGCTTGTGGTGGTGGTTTGCTTTACAGAATATAGCAACAATACCTTGAGATACACGACAAATTGCACGATTCATAGCATGTGATCAGTGTTGCTTGTAGATGTAGTTTTGTAACATTAACTGATTTGCCTAGCGTAACAATCAAAGTGTGTATTCACAAGTGAACACAAGACCCGAATGAGTATTGGCAATTTATAGAAAGATATCGTCACGATTTATAGCATGTGATCAGTGTGCTCGTAGATGTAGTTTTGTAACATTAACTGATTTGCCTAGCGTACCAATCAAAGTGTGTATTAACAGTGTCCAGTATTCACAAGTGAACTCAAGACCCGAATGAGTATTGGCAATTTATAGAAAGATATCGTCACGATTTATAGCATGTGATCAGGGTGCTCATAGATGTAGTTTTGTAACATTAACTGATTTGCCTAGTGTAACAATTAACAGTGTCCAGTATTCACACGTGAACACGAGACCTGCATGAGTATTGGTGATTTATAGAAAGACATTGTTACAGAGTATCCCCATATACATTGACTATTATGGTATACGATTAAATTGATTGGCACTAGTAATTATAGTGCTTCAGTAACATTCATAGTGTATATTAACAGTATTCACTATTCATGCGTGAACTGGAAACCAGCATGAGTATCAGTGATTATCGATACAGAGTATTCCCATATACATTGACTATTATGGTGTTATAGCATTAATTGATTGGCACTAGTAGTTATTGGATGTCACAATTTGCAGTGATCATCAATTACAGTATGAACCAGACAGAATATGTACCAGAGCGACCATATAGGAGCCTAAGATACTAGCATACCAGCACAATATCATTATAGAGTGTAACATGATACATTGAGCATTATGATGGCATATGATTCAATGATCGACATATTTGAGTTATTATAGAGTGGTACAATAAACTTTGACCATTTGTACAGAAGGCCAGTCAATTAGTTGCTATAGAGTAGGATTGTGCTGAGTTAAGTAGTTGAACAAATCAAAGCCTTCATTGTACCGGAGTGACGATTAGAGTAACTGTTACCAGCAAACATTAGAATATCGCTTATATCATTACAGGGTGTCCCAATATACATTGTCTGATTATTAACATTGAATCAGCAACATTCTGACTGATATATACACATTTTATGGGTCATTATGTCTTAATAAGATATTATAGCTGGAAACTTAACTCTTAGTAGTATTTATGCATTCATGTGTATTCATAGCATTTTAAGTATGCAACCATTATAGGTTAACTTTAGTTCATGAGTTATTAGAATATAGTTAAGTGTTAGGACTTGCGGAACGAAGAGTAGTGAGTTAGTTAATTCAGATGGAAACACAGTGTTCCCACATACAGTAGGTAGTATAGGGTATTCGTTGTGAGCGATTAGGATTACTCAGTTGATTTGGTGGTACCACAAGGTTAAGTTAGGATCTCAGATAATTTGGGTAACCAGGGTCACAGACTAGTAAAAGTAGCGAGTAACCATTACTGGTCTTTATTTGGTTTCATTACTAACCGCTTTGAGAGTTTGTGGTATAACTACCCTTTTATTGTACATGTAATATAGATGTATATGTTACTTTAACATTGTTTCAAAATATATTTCCATATTAAAACTACCTATATTTGTGAGTAATTACATTTCGAAAAATCTTCAAAATGGCTGCCAGAAAACAAGATGGCCACCCAAAAGTTAATCAGCTCTAGTACTTGATATCCTCTATCATTTGTGTAAATTTGAAGGAAATCCGATGAGCGGATTTTCTGAAATGGCGATGACAAGATTTTTCGAAAAATCTTCAAAGTGGCTGCCAGAAAACAAGATGGCCGCCCAAAAGTTAATCAGCTCTAGTACTTGATATCCTCTATCATTTGTGTAAATTTGAAGGAAATCCAATGAGCAGTTTTCCTGAAATGGCGATGACAAGATTTTTCGAAAAACCTTCAAAATGGCCGCCAGAAAACAAGATGGCCACCCAAAAGTTAATCAGCTCTAGTACTTCATATGCTCTATCATCTCTGCGAATTTGGAGAAAATCTGATTAGCAGTTTAACTTAAACGGCGATGACAAAAAGCGGGACGATCACGATCACGACCACGACCACGATCACGACCACGATCACGATCACGACCAGTATGACGACTATATCCCACCGATGGTGTGATAATAACAAAAATACCAAGATTTAGCTTATGAATATCTTCTGATTTAAGTATCTTTATTTTCTTAAACTGTAGAGAGGAATCATCTGTTCTAACACTGTTTGTAATTAGTCTTAAGAATCTTTTTTGTACTTTCAGAATTTGAAACAATAGAGCTTTAGTTGCTGTTCCCCAGATAAGAATACAATAATTTATATGGCTATATATAAGAGAGTACTAAATAGACATCATTGCAGTGTGATTTATCTTATTTTTGACCTTGTAAAGAATTCCTACTACTTGTGAAATTTTGGTAGATACATGAGCAATATGCTCATTCCATTTAAGTTCATCATCGATAATAACTCCAGGGAAAGAAGTCTTTGAAATTCTTTCAATGGGTTTATTTCTAATTTTAATATTTAGCATTTTTATTTCAGATTCTTTTAATTTGTGTAGATGAAAGATCATGAATTTTGATTTTTCTATATTAAGCGATAATTTATTTGCACATAGCCATTCGTCAAGATTTTCTAATTCAGAGTTGACTTGATTAATGAGAGTACTTAGGTTTTTATGTGAGCAGAGAAGGTTTGTATCATCTGTCTATTACAAAGCATCTGAGGTACGTAAATTTATATGAACAACTGAGTCAATAGGGATAAATAGCCCAAAGAGAGTCGGCGCTCTTGAAAAATACTTGGATCTTGATTACAATCCTGGTATTGATATCTTATCTCGTTTGAAGAACGTTTTTGACGTCTTTGACCAAAATGTTACTTTCCAGCTGAACCTAAAGTAACAAGTGAAAAAGTAACACTGTCTGTGCCAGTAATAAGTGTCAAAATACAAAGAGACTAATCAAGCAGCATAAAAGTGCTTAATGGATAGAAAGAAAGAAAGATGAGGCGTCAGTAGAATAATTGCATTGCTTATATACCATGACACATGAATACTTACCAAGAATGTCGCCTAAAACACCATCCAACCAGAAAGTTCCCCGTTTTTACTAACGAGCTTCAACTTTTAGAATTCAAGTTAAAACTTTCATTTCCGCCAGATTTCCGCTTTGTCTTTGTTCACAAATGGATTCATTAATATTATGATTAATGTTTTTATTGAGGAGAAATTCAATCATAAAGCTGAGATAGTATTTCAATCTCAATTTAGGTCATTACTTTGCTATATTAGGAAAAAATTGATATTAAAATTGTAACTGTGGTGCTGCCTTCCCAGGATGCAACATTAATGGTGGCAGTAAAATAAAACATCACATTTTATGACATAAATCAAGCCGCTTTGGGGAATTTACACAGAGAAAAGGATCACAAAGAGGCATAAAATGTTGGTTACGTTGAAAACATTGCAGCAACAGACCTTCAAAATTGAAGTGGACCCCGACGATACGGTAAATAAGAATTTTAATAATATTTAGGCAAAAAAATCTTTTTTTGATGAATCATGAAACTAGCCTACCTCTATTTAGATTCTAGGACCTAGTCTAGAAGCATATGTTGTTTAATTGTGTAGTTTCAGAAGAAAAACGCTTATTTGATTTTCAGATATCTGATTTGGTACTTTGATTCAACCTTGCATATAAGCAAGCATCTTCACAGATTGTTAGAACTATTACACTCGCCATAAACAAAAATCCCTTTGCCATGATCTTAAGGTGCTATGGAACTTAACAGGAAATGACAAAACAGGAAGTGACAATTTTTTTTGCATTTTTAGATATTTTTTGAATAAAGATAACAAGAGTTCTGGTTTGACCTCCAGTCAATTTAAGGTAACCGTTAACTTAATCAAAAGTACAAAAAAATGGCAGCCATATATTTTTGACTAAGTCACATGATTTTGTATTCTGTTTTCCTTATATGTGAATGCATTTCCTGACTAAAGAGACATGTCAAAGAAAACTTCACTTTTAAACGCATTTTTTATAACTATGAATTGGAGGTGCATGGGTCCCCAAAGCTAACATTAAGACCGTGAAATGAGGCTAATTTTTGAAAGTTTGAAGGAGTAGCCTTGCAACAGTCAAACATTTGCAAGAATCCAAAATTTCCACAAGTCATCTTTAGTGCTTGCAACGGTAATGGATCTCACTGCCGGTAAATTTCACCTCCATTACCTTACCGTTACCGATAATCGTTGATACTGATAATGTTCCTAAAATCCCGGGGAAAAACCTGAAAGTGAAACTAAAATATTTGGAAAAATCCTTAACGAAGCCGATTTCTCAGCTTGATTTCCCGCTCACATCAACTACAGTGGATAAATTGTATCATCGTGTATCTCGTGTGTGATTGTGTATTGTTTGGAAGTCTTTTAATGATAATATAGAGTGAATTCGATCAAAATTGATCAAACTATTTGTGTTTGTTTTTACATCACCGAAATATCACGTCACGTGATTTGTTAATCTCGCGGCACGGGAGATGATTGACAGAAGTGGGTGGGGTTTTGCTTATCCTCCCGCCTTTTACGAATGCTTTGCAGTTGATTGACAGATTAGCTCTTCAATTGTGGAGATTGAAATATACATGATTGATAAAATATTCTTAAACGAACGTTGTTCCGTAAATTTGACAATGGATCGCAATGCCAATCATCATGTTGCAGCAGCATGGCGATTATCGGCAATGGATTTTATTACCGGCAATTGAGAGTATCTACTGCCGCTGCCGACAACCCGGCATTACCGTAAGGCACTAGTCATCTTACCTTACCAAGGAACATCGAGGGAGCATGAAAATGTGTTCTTCTTGCATTGTTAGAGTATGATAAAGCTCAAACCATAGTTGCTGATAAATATTTCATGTCCACCATTTTTTCTGCCGGAACTACTTCTAGACTTCCTGTAATCCTCATATAGGTTTTTGTGACTTCACTTAGAGGCATGGATTATCACTAGTTTACTTTATATATAACAGTATAATAATCATGATAGATACATAATTGATATGTTGTTTTTTAAATGTAAACAATGGAAACATGAGTGAGGATTATTTTGGACTAGAAAATAGTCCCAGCAAACAAAATGGTAGACATGAAATATTTAGAATTTAATTTGGTTTGAGCTTTATTATACTCTAACAATGCATGAAGTACACATTTTAATGCTCCTTCAGTGTTCCTTGGTAAGGTAAGATGATTTGTGGAAATTTTGGAGTCTTACAAATGTGACTCCATTGCAATCCTACTCCTTGAAATTTTAAAAAGTTATCCTCACTTCACGGTCTCCATGCTAGCTTTAGGGACCCATGCACCACCAATTCATCGTTAAAAAAAATGCGTTTAAATGTGAAGCTTTCTTTGACATGTCTCTTTAGTCAGGAAATGCATTCACATATAAGGAAAACAGAAAACAAAATCTTGTGACTTAGTCAAAATAATATGCCTGCCATTTTTTTTGTACTTTTGATTAACTTAAGCGTTACCTTAACTATTTCCACATATCATTTACATGACCAGGATCACAATGTGCATGGTCAGAATGACCCTAAACATGATGAAATAACCTTTTTAGCCCTTTGAAAGTGTGACTGAAAAAAAGCTAAAAGTAGGAGCGTAGGGAAGCTCACTGAACAGAATCTTTTGAATTTTTCAGAAAATGTGCCCAATATATTGCTCTAAATGATACAATCTTTGAAAATTTGATATCATTCATAGAAAAAGAAAAAAAATGAAAAAACTGATTTGAAAAGCGATCTATTTTCCTTTTTATGACTGCCATTTTTGTTTAAGACAATTTTCTAAAATTTCAAAGATTGTACTAGTTAGAGCATTATATTGGGCACCTTAAGGTGCTATGGAAGTTAACAGGAAATGACAAAACAAAAAATGTCAAAACCATGCTGGATTTTGAAAATTATTTGAACCAAGACAACAGACTTCTGTTTGGACCTCCAGTCAGTTTAACTAGTTCCACATATCATTTACATGACCAGGAACACAATGGAAATGGTCAGAATGACCATAAACATGATGAAATAACCTTTTCAGCCCTCTGAAAATGTGACTGAAAAATGGCTAAGAGGAGGTGCTCAGAAAAGGTCACTGACAGAATCTTTTGACTTTTTCAGAAAATGTGCCCAATATCACAGGCTGGTATCGAAAAATTTGTCCGCTGTGACGGAGCATGCTATTTTTCATAAAAACACTAAGAATGCTTCACAATTTATTTTTTAACTCATATGTTTCGTTATATCAAAGATAGAATTACTTACTCCATCTTAAATCTATTGAAAATGGCGCCAGAGTATCAAACTCTAAAATGTACCATTTCTTTTTTAATTTTTTAATGGCATGATATTGTGACACAACAATATTAACATATGTTTTAAGCATAACTCTGAATGTATTAATGAGATATTAATGCATTGGGTCTTTTTAATTCTTTTATAAAAACAATATTAATATTCTTTGTCCGCTGTGACGGAGCATTTTCACAGTTCACATTTATACCTTCATAGTTATGCTGAAACCATGTGTAAATATTATCGTGTCACTATATTGTGCCATTAGAAAGTTAAACAAGAAATGGTATAACATTTTGAAGTATGATACTCCGGCGCCATTTTCAATAGCTTTTCTTCCCAGCGTAATTGGACTTCAAACAGAAGTTACCCGCAAATGATAAACCCATTGCATGGAGTAAGTAATTTTGTATGGTATAACGAAACATATGAGTTAAAAAATAAATCGTGAAGTATTCTTAGTGTTTTTATGAAAAATAGCATGCTCCGTCACAGAGCAAGCCTCGAAACTCGCGTTGCTATGGTAGTTAATAACTACCTGATTTTAAAGAAAAGCTACCTATTATTTTACCCAGTAGTTATTTTGGCCACCAACACTCTTAGATTGAGCCAAGTATTGTATGATTTGAAGCAATTTTTAACAATTTTGCAAAGGGTTACTCAGTTACACTTGCACTTTACATAGTTCAACTTATATTATTATTATTATTATTATTATTATTATGAGCTTTATTATACTTGTATCCCACATTTGGGCAAAGTGTACAGCTTAAAAAGAAAAAAAAAAAATGAAAAAGCCTAACTAATTATCTATATATTATATTAACTAATCAAAGGGTGCTTGATCATTGCAAGATTTTATTGGATGCATTTCGTGTTTTTTTCTCTCTCGATAAAAATATTAGATATATATTTTGCTAGTATATTTAATATTATTCCCTCTGAATTAAATAGAAACATTAATTTATGTTCCACGTTATTCATGTTTTCTAAATTTTGACAGTGTTTTTTTATTTTATCCATGTAACTTGACCGAGCATCTTTTAACTCATTGCATTCTAATAGGAAATGGCATTCTGAACCGGTTTTCTTATTACACATTGAACATTTTCTTTCTTCAATAGGAATATGAGAATACCCCTGGCCCTGTACATGTATAAATCAATTTTATCCTTCACTTGTTTTAAGGAAAGGGAAATACCCCAGAATTCATAGATGCACACTTCTCTGACGTAAACTAGATCATTGATTGGCCAAGGGGGGTTCATTTGGGGTTATGGGAAAGTACCTCTTCTTTGTCTTAGCGTGAGAAAATCTGATCACAGTGAAAATGAAATTCAAATCTGTCAATCAACTCATAAACAAAACCGCCCAGCTCTGACGTTTGACCAATCAGAAAGCATTTCAATGTAAACAACCTAGAATGTAGTAGTAGTATGAAGTGTGCCCAGAGTCAGCCAACAACCAATCAAATCATGTATATTGCTGTCATACTAAAACAATGCTTTACAGCTAATTATAAATAATACCGATCTCAAAGATGGAATGTAAACTTCAAATTATAAAAACTTGAAATCCCTATGATGTTTTATTGGATCTATCTTCCCAATTAAATGTGCATTTAGAAGTCAGTAGTAGCATTAAGCCATCAAGTCCTATGCTTTTACTTCCTGCGAAAGCTATTTGGATTTTGATAAGTTTCAAAATCTAACATGGCTCTCGAAGTGAGTAACTATGCTTACTATAATCTAGGGATTACTGAACACATTTGGCTCAAATCTGCCAGGTCGGAAGAGTTATATAGGGATCTGAATTATTCCATTTGTGTCCAGTGGCAATTTGTACCTTAGGGAAACCCCTGGTCAGGGGGGTTTCACTAGAATAGTGAAAAACAACATGCAAAATCAATGGAAATCATTTATTTAACATGGAAAATTTGAAACGTCCCTGAAAAACAACAGCAGATTTTGTGAAAACAACATGAAAATCGCCTGTTGCTAATGAAACCCTTGAAATGAAATACATGTAGGTACACCCCCTCCAAAAAGTTTGTAAACAATTGCAATCTAGTTTCAGTCCCCTCCAACATAATATACTGTATAATGGTTATATGCGCACTCCCCTCCAAAAGTTTTTTAGAACAATTTTAATAGGTAAATTCCCCTCCCAAAAGTTTGGAAACAATTGTATTAGGAATACTACCCTATAAAAGTATGGAAACAGTTATAAAGGAACACTCCCTAAAAAGTTTGGAAAGAAATGTAGTAGGTACACTCCCTCCAAAAGTTTGGAAACAATTGTAATAGGTGCACTCCCTTTCAAAATTATTTCTTATCTGACATATCTTGTGGCCCGCACTAGGTTTAACATCCGTGCCTATTCGGCCCTTGATGCAAAAATTTTAATTGTGGCCTATGGCAGCGCATGAAATTCAATTCGCGTTTTATTAATAACTGAGAATTTGCTACCAATGAAAGCTTAGCACGGAAGTTAAACCCAATCATGGCAACAAGAACATTCAGATTAATAAATAATAAAAACTGTGGTATTGGGTTTACTTGTTGAACTATGTTCAGCTCATGCTTTAAGATGCAGTGGTTCATAATTGACTGTTCCGCCTTATCTTGCACCAAGACCATCTCTTCGTCCTGGTTTTGGAGTTAGTCTATATCCAACAGACTGAATATCTTGAGAATTCAGTCTATTGATCATCATGTCACTCCTGTGGGAAAAAACATGGAATTTTCTGCACAAAATTGTCGAATTTAGGAAGCTTCACTTCCCAAAAATAAACATAATAACAATTTAGGTACAATTAGATGCTATAAGAAGTAACACATCATATTGTTAAATGGAAATAAAGCTAGGGGAAGTAACAAATATGCAAATTAACTTACTCCATCGTCCATTTTGAATGACACTTCCTATATAAACAAATATTTTTCGATCCCACATTTTAACATATGTGGGCTATAGTCTGAATATTTTCAATCCAAATTTCAAAAAAAATTCAGACAAGAGGCAAGAAGCACACATTATATTTTCAAAATTCAAAATTTATCGGTGCTAGCTTAACGCATATATTTCTTACCTCTATTGATTCTTGACTTCACAAGAAGGAGTCTTGCCCTAGACTATATCCTATTCACTCTGAATATATTCAGACTATAGTCTGTTAAACTGCCTCAAGACAATAAGTTGAACCAAATAGATAAGAAGTAGTGCCTTACGGTAATGCCGGGTTGTCGGCAGCGGCAGTAGATACTCTCAATTGCTGGCAATAAAATCCATTGCCGATAATCGCCACGCTGCTGCAACATGATGATTGGCATTGCGATCCATTGTCAAATTTACGAAACAATGTTCGTTTAAGAATGTTTTATCATGATATTTCAATCTCCACATTTGAAGAGCTAATCTGTCAATCAACTGCACAGCAATCGTAAAAGGCGGAAGGATAAGCAAAAACCCACCCACTTCTGTCAATCATCGCCCATGCCGCGAGATTTACAAAACACATGACATTAGATTTCGGCGAAGTAAAAAACAAACACAAATAGTTTGATCAATTTTAATCGAATTCACTCTTTATTATCGTTTCAAAGACTTCCTAACAATACACAATCACACACAAGATACTACGAGGTTATATAATGGGTCATTTTGTATATCGTATTTATACTCGAGTGAGTGCCACTCTTACCATTCCAAACTAGCAAATTTCGACCTTAAAGTACTTGGCTCATATTCCCAGGCCTGTCAACTTGGGAACACCTAACATGAGTGACTTGGAAATGTTGAACACCTCCCCTCAAAATCTGGACACCTTGGTCCAAATCTGGACACCTTGATCCAAATTTTGAACACCTTGGTTTAAATTTGATTACATCTTGCCAAATTTTGAACACCTCAAATTTTTCGCGCTCACTACGCTCGCGTTTCATACATCCGTCAACGGGGGGGGGGGGGAAGGGACGAAAAATTTCGAACGGAATGCGTGACATATACGTAATTCGCGTGAAAAGTCCGAACGGAATGCGTACATTTTTTTCCGGCGTTCGTATTTTTGCTGTGTAGACGATCTTTTTTAGAAATTTTTCTACAGAAATATTTTTGCTTGACAATTACCAGGTAAAATGCGTATTTGCGTGACATTTTCTGTCACGCAAAAATAACTGGCGTGACTTCAAATTCTTCAGCAAATGGGTGACAAATACGCAAATTGCGGGACAGTTGACAGGCCTGTATTCCTCTCCGTTCTCTTGTCTCACTGTAATGATGAATTCTGATACAAATCCATTTAAATCTTTTGGTTCAATGTTTTTGGGCTTTCTCAGTTCCCCTTTCAACCTCAGAAAGTCTAGGAAATGATTAATGTCAGATCTGTCTTTTTTTTACAGTGTTCAGGTTTCTCTGATCCATTATAAATTCATTCACATCAACCTTTGATTCCTCGATGCCTCCTACTTCTACCAGTTCACTTTCTCCGGTCGAAAGTTTTCCAACGACATCTGCCATTGTTGTTTTTGCAGGAGATCAATGCAGGCAGAGATATCCCGTGAACTTCTAGTACATTTTAACCTATGCGCCTGCGCAGATCGCTAGTCTTTATGGGTAGACTGTAGCTAGTTGTCACTATGATGCACAACCACGCCATCTTTCAATAGCAGTAAAAGTTTTTTATATTGATTAGTTCCCAAAATGCACTTCTACAGTGGTATACGCTAGAGTGGTATACGGTGGAGTGTATACGATGAAAGTGATTTGAGACGTTTTCTCATCTAAGGGTACTTTTAAAAGATATAATTTGAATCTTGAATTCTTAATGCATTAAAAGAAATAAAAGAAATTGTACATTTGGAGTATGATACTCCAGCGCCGTTTTCAATAGCTTTTACTCTTAGCGTTGTTGGACTTCAAACAGAAGTTAGTTACCCGCAAATGATATATCCATTGCATGGAGTAAGTAATTTTCTTTGGTATAGCGAATGATATGAGTAAAAAATAAATTGTGTGGATTTCTTAATGTTTCTATGCAAAATAGCACGCTCCGTCACAGCGGACAACTTTTTCGATACCGGCCTGTGAATATGAAAATGTTTTTCCATATATTCTTGCACAATAATCTTTAGATTTCTTTTTTAGGTTCAACTGGTTGCCTTGAAGCAATTTAATAAACTACATATCAAAGCAACCTATGTTAAGATTTGGGAATTCAAAATATTTGTTTATAAAGGAAGTGCTATTCAAAATGGCTGATGGAGTGTATTAATTTGCATATTTGTTACTTCAACTAGCTTTACTTCCACTTGACAATACGCTGTGTTACTCTTTAGCTCACATGGTGAGCTTTTGCAATCACTCACTTGTTATTGCATTTAATTGTACCCTACTACTTAATTGAAGTGTTATAATGTTTATTTTTATGAACTGATACTTCCTAAAATTGATAATTTTGTGCGAAAAATTTCGCTGCAATTTCCACAGGACGGTAGTACATCATAACAGACTGACTTCTATTCAGTCAGTCTGTTTGATACATACTAGGTCTAGCCCTTATAAGGACTCTCGACAGGGGCATTTCCCCTCAGTAAAATTAGACCCTTCTCCAAGCTGCATATGATTTCTTGACATTGGGATATATGATGACAAGACGTTAATAGAGTAAGAATGTAATCAATTTTATGAAAGAACTGAAATAATTCTGCCATTTCACCCTTCATTACAAGTTATTAATTTGTCTCTTTTTGCACTCATTATTAATTTGTCTCTTTTTGCACTCATTTTTCAGGTCAGAACATTCAAAGACAAATTAGAGAAAGAAAAGGGCAAAGAATTCCCTTCTGATGGACTGAAACTTATTTATGCAGGTAAAAATGTTTCGGAGACAAATAATGTTATTATGTCACCACTACAGGTGTATGTAAATAATGGCAGGTGGTGACATTCTGCATGTTAATGCCTTGTTAATGATTATTGTTTTATTCCATGGTCTTCTAACACTGGATCTATTGTTTTGGGATTGCTATATACATAGTATGTAAGTTTTCTTCCCTTTTCATTGTTTGGGTCTATTGTTTGGGAACTGCATACATAGTATGTAAGTTTTCTTCCCTTTTCATTGCAGGAAAAATATTGGACAATGACAAAACAATCAAAGAATATAAGATTGAGGAGAAGAATTTTGTTGTTGTGATGGTCACAAAGGTAAGAAGATAATTTGGTTGCATTGTTGGCTTGTGCATTTGTCTAATTACTAGCCATTCAAATTTCAGAACAATCAGTATTTTGTCAATTTTTGTGGAAATTTAATTCTGTTGTTGACCTTGGGCCTCATGTCAACCTTGGGCTTCAATCAGATTCAGATTCCATTTCGATCAGAGCTCTAATAAAATCTTATAAATAGTTTTCAAATGAATATCAGTTGTAACTCATCAACTCTATTATGCATGTACATATTTCAAGTATTTATTTCTTTATTTGAATTAATAAATCCAAAGTTTCATATGCAATCTCAATAAATGTTTTTTATGCTCTCCATCATTGACCAGGGTCATGTTTGAATTGCATGTAGCAACCCATTCTTATGATGCACTCAGGCTTCACCTTCATGCATTATGTATAGGGTTAGTACATTCACTCGTATTTCTTATGATTTCCAATATAGAATGCAACAGGATTCTCTATTCTTAAATATAAATGTATTTGCTAGTCAAAGCCTAGTGCAAGTAAGCCTACAGCTGCAAAACCTGCAGAGACTCCTGCATCCATTCCTGCAGCCACACCTGCAGCTGCTACACCCGAACCACCCACACCTGTAGCTCAGCCTACTCCAGAACGAGATCCAAAGCCAGAGGAGAAGAAGACAGAAGACACTAATGTTACAACAGAAAGGTATTATGTTTGAAATGGTTGAGTGAACCCATGTTGCTTTTGAATTTTCTGTACATTTTAACCTATTGATATGTACTTCTATAATACAGTTGTAAGCTTGTTCCATTTGAAATCTAAGGATATATTTAAAAGTACCCTGTTTACATATTCTTAGCCTTATGGATTACTATTCTTACATTATTACAATGGTATTTTATACTATTAGATGCCATTTAAATCTGACTTCTCTATTTATTTATTTTTTTACTTGTAATTACAGCACAGCAAGTACAACATCAGAAACTGCAAGTACGGCAGCATCTATATCTGACTCTGCCTCAACACTACTAGCAGCCCAGAGCACACTTGTGACAGGAGAGGAGTATGAGAAGATGATAAAAGAGATAATGAGCATGGGTTTTGAGAGAGACCAGGTGATTAGAGCGCTGAGGGCAAGCTTCAACAACCCAGACAGGGCTGTAGATTATCTTTTCAATGTGAGTGCCTTCTAGTTTGTTGTCAATTTGTATTGTTTCACTGTATTTTCACATAACTGATTGGCTTGCTGTATCTTTGTCTTTTTCACATTTGATACGTATGGTGATATCATTTGAAATGAGAACACAGACATTATATTGTAAAAATTCTTGATATGGTGAATATTGATCACTTAAAAGTGTAGTGCTTAAATCCATTAGGCTGCCATCTTTTAAGATTTCACTCAGGAAGTAATGTCATCAACTCTCAACTTTGCATATAGCATTAGATAAGGACCTATTAAGAGTGTTACAAGATCAACTGAATATTTTTTTCAATTTCGTCTATGATAAAAATCCTTCTTATAAACTCTTCTTTAATTCTAAGTTGACAAGCCCTGAAAATTTGGTCACTCTCTGTGGATCTGATTCTGCCTAAGGAAACGCTGATAATTATATCACACAAATTATAAACACAATGCAAGCTTGTAATTATGAACACAACCATGTAATTCTAAACACAACCATTTAATTATTTACATAGGGCATACCTGAGGTATCAGAAGCTGTAGCTCCACCAGCACCAGCCTCAGCTCCAGCTGCTCCAACAGGTCAGGCTCCAGTTTCTGCTACAGGACAGGCTCCAGTTCCTGCTACAGGACAGGCTCCAGTTCCTCTTGCTGTCCCAGACCTACCAGTTGCAGGAGGTCAGGTCCCAGCAGGCACTGCTCCCACACCCCCACAACCTGCACCTGGAGGTTAGAAGTCTTAAATATTGGAGCTTTTAAGAGGCGAAACTTTAAGATTTACTATTTTATATACATCATAAAAGATAAATAGAGTTCTTTCAAAATGGTGTCATTTAATCACTCTCAATCTTTTTCTGAGGCACAAGAATGAGCAACCCTCTGTATACATTTGACAATTATTCACTATCCTTTTCTCAGGCACAAGAATGAGCAACCCTCTGCATACATTTGACAATTATTCACTATCCTTTTCTGAGGCACAAGAATGAGCAACCCTCTGCATACATTTGACAATTATTCACTATCCTTTTCTGAGGCACAAGAATGAGCAACCCTCTGCATACATTTGACAATTATTCACTATCCTTTGCTGAGGCACAAGAATGAGCAACCCTCCGCATACATTTGACAATTATTCACTATCCTTTTCTGAGGAACAAGAATGAGCAACCCTCTGCATACATTTGACAATTATTCACTATCCTTTGCTGAGGCACAAGAATGAGCAACCCTCCGCATACATTTGACAATTATTCACTATCCTTTTCTGAGGCACAAGAATGAGCAACCCTCTGCATACATTTGACAATTATTCACTATCCTTTTCTGAGGCACAAGAATGAGCAACCCTCTGTATACATTTGACAATTATTCACTATCCTTTTCTGAGGCACAAGAATGAGCAACCCTCTGCATACATTTGACAATTATTCACTATCCTTTTCTGAGGCACAAGAATGAGCAACCCTCTGCATACATTTGACAATTATTCACTATCCTTTTCTGGGGCACAAGAATGAGCAACCCTCTGCATACATTTGACAATTATTCACTATCCTTTTCTGGGGCACAAGAATGAGCAACCCTCTGCATACATTTGACAATTATTCACTATCCTTTTCTGAGGCATAAGGTTGAGCAACCCTCCGCATACATTTGACAATTATTCACTATCCTTTTCTGAGGCACAAGAATGAGCAAACCTCCGCATACATTTGACAATTATTCACTATCCTTTTCTCAGGCACAAGAATGAGCAACCCTCTGCATACATTTGACAATTATTCGCTATCCTTTTCTGAGGCACAAGAATGAGCAATCCTCTCCATACATTTGACAATTATTCACTATCCTTTTCTGAGGCACAAGAATGAGCAACCCTCTGCATACATTTGACAATTATTCACTATCCTTTGCTGAGGCACAAGAATGAGCAACCCTCTGCATACATTTGACAATTATTCACTATCCTTTTCTGAGGCACAAGAATGAGCAACCCTCTGCATACATTTGACAATTATTCACTATCCTTTGCTGAGGCACAAGAATGAGCAACCCTCTGCATACATTTGACAATTATTCACTATCCTTTTCTGAGGCACAAGAATGAGCAACCCTCTGCATACATTTGACAATTATTCACTATCCTTTTCTCAGGCACAAGAATGAGCAACCCTCTGCATACATTTGACAATTATTCACTATCCTTTTCTGAGGCACAAGAATGAGCAACCCTCTGCATACATTTGACAATTATTCACTATCCTTTGCTGAGGCACAAGAATGAGCAACCCTCTGCATACATTTGACAATTATTCACTATCCTTTTCTGAGGCACAAGAATGAGCAACCCTCTGCATACATTTGACAATTATTCACTATCCTTTGCTGAGGCACAAGAATGAGCAACCCTCTGCATACATTTGACAATTATTCACTATCCTTTTCTGAGGCACAAGAATGAGCAACCCTCTGCATACATTTGACAATTATTCACTATCCTTTGCTGAGGCACAAGAATGAGCAACCCTCCGCATACATTTGACAATTATTCACTATCCTTTTCTGAGGCACAAGAATGAGCAACCCTCTGCATACATTTGACAATTATTCACTATCCTTTGCTGAGGCACAAGAATGAGCAACCCTCTGCATACATTTGACAATTATTCACTATCCTTTTCTGAGGCACAAGAATGAGCAACCCTCTGCATACATTTGACAATTATTCACTATCCTTTGCTGAGGCACAAGAATGAGCAACCCTCTGCATACATTTGACAATTATTCACTATCCTTTTCTGAGGCACAAGAATGAGCAACCCTCTGCATACATTTGACAATTATTCACTATCCTTTTCTGAGGCACAAGAATGAGCAACCCTCTGCATACATTTGACAATTATTCACTATCCTTTTCTGAGGCATAAGGTTGAGCAACCCTCCGCATACATTTGACAATTATTCACTATCCTTTTCTGAGGCACAAGAATGAGCAACCCTCTGCATACATTTGACAATTATTCACTATCCTTTTCTGAGGCACAAGAATGAGCAACCCTCCGCATACATTTGACAATTATTCACTATCCTTTTCTGAGGAACAAGAATGAGCAACCCTCCGCAAACATTTGACAATTATTCACTATCCTTTTCTGAGGCACAAGAATGAGCAACCCTCCGCATACATTTGACAATTATTCACTATCCTTTTCTGAGGCATAAGAATGAGCAACCCTCTGCATACATTTGACAATTATTCACTATCCTTTTCTGAGGAACAAGAATGAGCAACTCTCTGCATACATTTGACAATTATTCGCTATCCTTTTCTGGGGAACAAGAATGAGCAACCCTCTGCATACATTTGACAATTATTCACTATCCTTTTCTGAGGCACAAGAATGAGCAACCCTCTGCATACATTTGACAATTATTCACTATCCTTTTCTGAGGCACAAGAATGAGCAACCCTCCGCATACATTTGACAATTATTCACTATCCTTTTCTGAGGCACAAGAATGAGCAACCCTCCGCATACATTTGACAATTATTCACTATCCTTTTCTGAGGCACAAGAATGAGCAACCCTCTGCATACATTTGACAATTATTCACTATCCTTTTCTGAGGCACAAAAATGAGCAACCCTCTGCATACATTTGACAATTATTCACTATCCTTTTCTGAGGCACAAGAATGAGCAACTCTCTGCATACATTTGACAATTATTCGCTATCCTTTTCTGGGGAACAAGAATGAGCAAACCTCTGCATACATTTGACAATTATTCACTATCCTTTTCTGAGGCATAAGAATGAGCAACCCTCTGCATACATTTGACAATTATTCACTATCCTTTTCTGAGGCACAAGAATGAGCAACCCTCTCCATACATTTGACAATTATTCACTATCCTTTGCTGAGGCACAAGAATGAGCAACCCTCTGCATACATTTGACAATTATTCACTATCCTTTTCTGAGGCACAAGAATGAGCAACCCTCTGCATACATTTGACAATTATTCACTATCCTTTTCTGAGGCACAAGAATGAGCAACCCTCTGCATACATTTGACAATTATTCACTATCCTTTTCTGAGGCACAAGAATGAGCAACCCTCCGCATACATTTGACAATTATTCACTATCCTTTTCTGAGGCACAAGAATGAGCAACCCTCCGCATACATTTGACAATTATTCACTATCCTTTTCTGAGGCACAAGAATGAGCAACCCTCCGCAAACATTTGACAATTATTCGCTATCCTTTTCTGAGGCACAAGAATGAGCAACCCTCCGCATACATTTGACAATTATTCACTATCCTTTTCTGAGGCACAAGAATCCTTTTCTGAGGCACAAGAATGAGCAACCCTCTGCATACATTTGACAATTATTCACTATCCTTTTCTGAGGAACAAGAATGAGCAACCCTCTGCATACATTTGACAATTATTCACTATCCTTTTCTGATGCACAAGAATGAGCAACCCTCTCCATACATTTGACAATTATTCACTATCCTTTTCTGAGGCACAAGAATGAGCAACCCTCTGCATACATTTGACAATTATTCACTATCCTTTTCTGAGGCACAAGAATGAGCAACCCTCTCCATACATTTGACAATTATTCACTATCCTTTTCTGAGGCACAAGAATGAGCAACCCTCTGCATACATTTGACAATTATTCACTATCCTTTTCTGAGGCACAAGAATGAGCAACCCTCTCCATACATTTGACAATTATTCACTATCCTTTTCTGAGGCACAAGAATGAGCAACCCTCTCCATACATTTGACAATTATTCACTATCCTTTTCTGAGGCATAAGAATGAGCAACCCTCTCCATACATTTGACAATTATTCACTATCCTTTTCTGAGGCACAAGAATGAGCAACCCTCTCCATACATTTGACAATTATTCACTATCCTTTTCTGAGGCACAAGAATGAGCAACCCTCTCCATACATTTGACAATTATTCACTATCCTTTTCTGAGGCACAAGAATGAGCAACCCTCTCCATACATTTGACAATTATTCACTATCCTTTTCTGAGGAACAAGAATGAGCAACCCTCTGCATACATTTGACAATTATTCACTATCCTTTTCTGGGGAACAAGAATGAGCAACCCTCCGCATACATTTGACAATTATTCACTATCCTTTTCTGAGGCACAAGAATGAGCAACCCTCTGCATACATTTGACAATTATTCACTATCCTTTTCTGAGGCACAAGAATGAGCAACCCTCCGCATACATTTGACAATTATTCACTATCCTTTTCTGAGGCACAAGAATGAGCAACCCTCTGCATACATTTGACAATTATTCACTATCCTTTTCTGAGGCATAAGGTTGAGCAACCCTCCGCATACATTTGACAATTATTCACTATCCTTTTCTGAGGCATAAGGTTGAGCAACCCTCCGCATACATTTGACAATTATTCACTATCCTTTTCTGAGGCACAAGAATGAGCAACCCTCTGCATACATTTGACAATTATTCACTATCCTTTTCTGAGGCATAAGGTTGAGCAACCCTCCGCATACATTTGACAATTATTCACTATCCTTTTCTGAGGCACAAGAATGAGCAACCCTCTGCATACATTTGACAATTATTCACTATCCTTTTCTGAGGCACAAGAATGAGCAACCCTCCGCATACATTTGACAATTATTCACTATCCTTTTCTGAGGAACAAGAATGAGCAACCCTCCGCAAACATTTGACAATTATTCGCTATCCTTTTCTGAGGCACAAGAATGAGCAACCCTCCGCATACATTTGACAATTATTCACTATCCTTTTCTGAGGCATAAGAATGAGCAACCCTCTGCATACATTTGACAATTATTCACTATCCTTTTCTGAGGAACAAGAATGAGCAACTCTCTGCATACATTTGACAATTATTCGCTATCCTTTTCTGGGGAACAAGAATGAGCAACCCTCTGCATACATTTGACAATTATTCACTATCCTTTTCTGAGGCACAAGAATGAGCAACCCTCTGCATACATTTGACAATTATTCACTATCCTTTTCTGAGGCACAAGAATGAGCAACCCTCCGCATACATTTGACAATTATTCACTATCCTTTTCTGAGGCACAAGAATGAGCAACCCTCCGCATACATTTGACAATTATTCACTATCCTTTTCTGAGGCACAAGAATGAGCAACCCTCTGCATACATTTGACAATTATTCACTATCCTTTTCTGAGGCACAAAAATGAGCAACCCTCTGCATACATTTGACAATTATTCACTATCCTTTTCTGAGGCACAAGAATGAGCAACTCTCTGCATACATTTGACAATTATTCGCTATCCTTTTCTGGGGAACAAGAATGAGCAAACCTCTGCATACATTTGACAATTATTCACTATCCTTTTCTGAGGCACAAGAATGAGCAACCCTCTGCATACATTTGACAATTATTCACTATCCTTTTCTGAGGCACAAGAATGAGCAACCCTCCGCATACATTTGACAATTATTCACTATCCTTTTCTGAGGCACAAGAATGAGCAACCCTCCGCATACATTTGACAATTATTCACTATCCTTTTCTGAGGCACAAGAATGAGCAACCCTCCGCATACATTTGACAATTATTCACTATCCTTTTCTGAGGCACAAGAATGAGCAACCCTCTGCATACATTTGACAATTATTCACTATCCTTTTCTGAGGCACAAGAATGAGCAACCCTCTGCATACATTTGACAATTATTCAACAAATTCAATTTTATATTCATATTGGGATTAAGATTTTCCTTGACTTAGATGCTCCGTATGAATCTGATATTTAACAGATGTTTTGTTTCTTTACTTTTCAGAAGACCCCTTGTCATTTTTAGCAACACAGCCGCAGTTTGATCAAATGCGCCAATTGGTTCAGACAAACCCTCAGCTCCTTCCCACAATCCTGCGGGAAATATCTCAATCTAATCCACAATTATTACAAGTGAGTGCCAATAATATCAATTTCTTCCCAGATTTATTTGGTAAAAGACCGCAGCATGAATGTAAAGAATTCTTTTTTTTCCATTATTCTATCAATGGACCAGTAGTAATTATTATGATTTAGTCTTTGTAAATAAATTATTTTTTTCTAATGATTTTTTATGAAAAGTATAGAAATAACACCCAAATTAAATTATTAATATTCAAAAGAATACATTTAAATCTACAATATGTAAAAATATCAAAATAGTCTGAAGCGGGCGTAACATGCAGTAGACCGATTTGATAAATGACATTCACTCGGTTTGGAGAATGAAGTTCATAAGTGTAACTGCGCTAATAATTTTTTTATGAAATTTTTGGATTGGTTAGGTACCAACTCATTTACATGTTTTGGGAATATTGAAATGTGCATTAACACTCTCCCCCAAACTAAAGGATGAGTCAGGATATATGCGCTTTTGGTCCTTCAGAAATAGAAATCACTGCGTCCGTCCCATGGACGCAGTGCATGTCATATGCCAAAAATCAACTTTGGATGAATGTATTGATAAAGATATCACTTTCAGTCTCTTTATTATTATGTCATCACCAAAAAGTGGTGACATTTTGTTATGGTATCCTTTTTTTGTGATGGCGGTTGGTGGTTGGCGATCGGCAGGTGGCGGTTGGCCTCTGTAACAAATTCTTAAAACTTCCAATAACTTTACAAGTACTCTTTAGACAGACTTCAGTTTTTTTCAAACTGATCTACAAGTTTTCAGAAGTTCAAAGCTAACTTTATATTTAAAATTTGACCTTCAGTGAGCAGGTCATAAAGGTATTTTTATAACTTGCTTCAAACTGACCAATTTGTTTCAAAATCATGTACAAGTTAATGGATGTTCAAATCTGATTTTAAATGGCAAATCAACTTATAGATTTTCTAGAAAAATATAATATCTTCTGTGAACAGCAATTTGGCTTTAGAAAAAATAGATCTACATATATGGCTATTACCAGCTTCTTAGAAACATTAATCCAGTCAATTGAAAAGAAAGATCTTAATATTGCTATTTTCATCGACTTGTCTAAAGCATTTGATACGGTTAATCATGAGATACTTCTTCAAAAATTTTACTATTATGGAATCAGGGGAATGCACATAAGTGGTTCATTAGCTATCTTTCAAACCGAACTCAGGAAACAGAATATACTGACAAGACTTCCAAAATCAACACAGTCACCTGCGGGGTCCCACAGGGCTCGATCCTTGGACCTATTCTGTTTCTTATTTACATCAATGACATTGTTATGACATCTTCTATATTTAAATTTGTTATCTTTGCTGATGAAACAAACCTTCTCTGCTCACATAAAAACCTAAGTACTCTCATTAATCATGTCAACTCTGAATTAGAAAATCTTGACAAATGGCTATGTGCAAATAAACTATAGCTTAAACAAATTAAAAGAATCTGAAATAAAAATGCTAAATATTAAAATTAGAAATAAACCTATTGAGAGAATTTCAAAGACTACTTTCCTTGGAGTTATTATCGATGATGAACTTAAATGGAATGAGCATATCTTGTCAAGGTCAAAAATAAGTTAAATCACACTGCAATGATGTCTATTTATTACTCTCTCTATAGCCATATAAATTATTGTATTCTTATCTGGGGAACAGCAACTAAAGCTCTATTGTTTCAAATTCTGAAAGTACAAAAAAGATTCTTAAGACTAATTTCAAACAGTGTTAGAACAGACGATTCCTCTCTACAATTTAAGAAAATAAAGATACTTAAATTAGAAGATATTCATAAGCTAAATGTTGGTATTTTTGTATTTAATTGTCTCAAACGACCTAAAGAATTTCCTCAAACTTTATTCTATGACTACTTCATATCAAATGCTCAAACTCATGGTCAAGAGACACGTTATAGATTCAATCTTAGAGCTAATCGATTTAAATCTACATTTGGACAAAGGAGCATTAAACACATAGGACAAACAACATTGAATGAATTACCTGAAACTTTTAAACATCTGAATTCTAGAAATAAATTTAAGTCAGATTTGAAAAAGTATTATCTGGACAAGTATTAAATTGTATAACATTTAGTTATATGTGCTTATATATATGTGCTTCTATTACTTTTCTCCTAACTTTCTATCTTTAAAAACAGTTTTATATCTTGTCATCTTGATTAATACAATTATGTAATATAATCATATGTAACTATATACACCCGCATGGGTGTCAGTTGCCTGTACAATGAACATTGATATAATTGATGAATAAACAACTATGCAAACTGGTCAAAAAAGTTTTTTTTTCAACTTGCTTCAAATTGACTAATTTTTTGGGCTCAATATCATCTAGAAGTTCTCAAAAGTTCAAATCTGACTCTAGATTTGACATTCAGTGACATTCTCAAGGTCAAAAAATATTTGATCTTCAATGACCTTCTCAAGGTCAAAAAGGTCTTTTTTCAACTTGCTTCAAATTGACCATTTTTTAAGATTATCTACAAGTTCTCAGAAGTTCAAATCTGACTTGAGATTTTACCTTCAATGACCTTTTCAGGGTTAAAAGGTCTTTTTTCAACTTGCTTCAAATTGTCCAATTTTTCTCAAAATTATCTACAAGTTCTCAGAAATTCAAATCTGACTTTTGATTGAACTAATAATATTGTGAGCAACTAGGTGGTGACATTTTGTCATGTTAATGCCTTGTTTTGTCAAATCTACTAATTTATCAATATTCTATTTCTACAAGAAATAAAATTTTCTTTCGAAGTTTCCTTACCTGAAAGTTGATTTCCAATCGAAATAGTATGAGGCTTGTGATAAGACAATTAGTTGCTACAGTAATTGATTTCTGACCTGTAATCAGAACGAGTTCTATGATTGACCCTTAGCTGAAGAGCTGATTCAAACCATTTTCTATTGGTTAAAGTTGTACTAAAACCAATTTCAGAATCTCTTATTATCTCGTATTTAGCACAAATAACATCCCTTTTGTTATTTTGACTACAATGCTTGTGCTATTTCCCCACACCACACGATTTATTAAGATAAGGCTGTCACCCTCTGAAATGTTGTTAATTTTGCGCACTTTTTGAGGTCACCTGACCATGAAAGTTTTGACGTACTGTGTGCCAAGTTATTCTGGCGCTAAATCGAAAAGTTGTTATTGCAAACTACTACAAAGACTGAACCAAAGTAGAAAAAGACATTAGTTTCATATTCGCACGCATTCCAATAGCCAAATAAACATTTTTATTTGATTGAACTTCACAAAAAGAAATTCTTGAGGAAAGAGCACTGCAATATTATTCATTACATATACAAGGAATTGATTGAAATGCATTTGTTAAACCATATATCGATAACTGAAAATGTTAACCCAATAATTATATTTTGGCCTTAGAGCATTACATTCGGGTTAAACAATTTTAATCCCCCAAAACTGGCAATGTTTGATGTTATATAACTTACATGCTTTCAATAGCCTCTCTGGTTGATTGATTCTGCACTCAATTGCAAGTGGTATTATACCCTTCGCAAAATTGATGAGAATAGCTGTTTTTCAGACACTACAATTTTGGATATTTCTCAAGTCGATTTCCTAACTCATTCCCTGATTTATCCTTTATTTAGTTCTATCAGATACAATATTTTGATGCCACCCATAAGTTGTGTCTTCTGTCGATTCTCCTTGAGATATGTGTTACAACTTACAAGTGACATCTATAAATGAACATGTATTATTTTATACCTTACCTGATAGATGTGTTTTATTTACTTGCTAGATTATTAGTCAGAATCAAGAGCGGTTTGTGCAGATGTTGAATGAGCCAGCTGCAGGGGGAGGCCCAGGAGGGGTACAAGCTGGGGGAGTTCCAGCACACCCACAGCCACAAGGCATCCCTGTAACTCCATTAGAAAAAGAAGCTATTGATAGGGTAGGTATAAAGAAGTCAAAGTAGATTGCATTTTTTAATGCAGCAACTTAATTGTTGAGAGCTTTTAAGAAAGGACAGGTGGTGGTAAGGCCTCCTTGTAGCCTCCCGAGAAAACAAGTGTAAATAGGCAAGGAATTGAAGATAGTATAACTTATTACTTAAAATCTGATTTTTGACCTTGACACCTGGGTCACTTTGGCAGATGCTATTTATTGTTCAAATTTCCAGTACAAAATATGAAAGCCATAGGATTAATTTATTTGTGACTGAAAATAAGACATGTGAATGGCAATTACATTAAAATTTGAATTGAAATGCTCATATGGGCATAATTCTGTGGACACATGTTATAGTCTCCAACATCATTCATCATTGGAAAGCCAAAATAACACCAAAATTGAGATTAATACAATTTGTACAAGTTCTTCTCTCTGTTTGACACCATTCATTTTTCACTTCAGTTTTGCAACGGCAATATTTTTACAAACTGCAATCTTTTTCTGAATTAACGAACTGGAGAAAAAACCCCGAAAAACCGAACTGGAGAACTGATTTTTTGAACTGAATGTACCGAGCCAGGCCTAAGAACCAATACAAGCAACACCGCTGTTTCGTCACACCGTTAGATATCAATATCGTTATTGCAGAGAAGTGTGCCAATGTTAACTTTTCAATGAAATGGGATGAACACCATATGATAACACAATAGACAAAAAATGACAATCTTTTACAGATTTGCATAAATGAATTACACACACAGCTGCATTTTGACAATGTTCTACTCTGAATGCCATACATTCTATGTACTAGTAATTAATTCCATAGTGTGTACCCATATTTTGACAACCCTGTAATGGGGCTCTTTCTGCTAATTTTTCAACAAAAGTTTTGGCACTTCTTGAAATTGAAGATCTCAAAACAAAAGGTTTTCTACAACATGCAATTCGTTTTAAAAGTAAATGGGAGAGTTTTTTGGAAAAAGGTTAAGTTGATTATTTATTGAACCATTATATCCAGTTATGCTTGATGCTAAAATTAAACTTAAATTGTATCTCAGAAAGCACTAATATGATATGAAGTCATGTGTACAGTAAAACCTGTATATTAGAACACCTCTCTAATCCAAATCTCTCAATGTGAACTTGGTCCCAATTTATTATCTTCGATTAATATACATATTAAGGAATCTTAATATTTGAACAACTGCAAATCCAAACATTATACCAATCCTAACTTTACATTTGGATGAGACAGGTTTAGCTGTAATTAGTGTTAAGATATTTTGTTTTTCCATTCCAGTTAAAAGCATTAGGATTTCCGGAGGACTTATGTGTACAAGCTTATTTCGCATGTGACAAGAACGAAGAACTAGCAGCAAACTTTCTACTTTCTCAAGGTTTTGATGACAGTTGATCTGCTTTAAAAACACTTTTTTATTATTTCATTATTAATTAACGTTATCTGAACATCCACTTCCTATGTGGTCTGTTTGGCTATCTAAAACTAGGACTGAAATAGCCTCAAACCTGTATGTAATAATGAAATAGCGCCACATCTGTTGTATATTATAATGAAATTGCATCAGACATTTCTATATCTGCAATATGTATAAAACACATAAAGTGACAATATACCATAGCATTTATTTTAACATTTTTTTGCCAATTGTTTTTGGATGCAATATCATTTGTTCAAACAATTTTCATGGAAAGCAAGGCAAATAAGTGCACTCAATTTGGATTGCTATGAGAAATGCTTGTTGTTGGTGCTTTATTATAGATCTAAATACTATCTGATGAACCACTGTGGTCTCATCATTAGATCTATTAATGATGTGCCATAACTTTTGAACTTTTCAATTGTATAACATGAACCATCAGATGCATCTCTTTTAGTATAAAACAATAAAACATTTTCAGTACTGTTAAAACTTGGAATAAATGCTGCCAGTAGCTATATGAATAAAGTTTGTAAAGCATATCTCAGTATATAATGTTTTTAGTTGATTGCTCAGGAGTAAATATCATATCCTTCCATGTATCTGGAAAATACATCAAATACTACTTTTTTTTAAGTTGGCCACCATTTTTAAAGTGGAGGGAATATTTTTCGAAGATCTAATTTTTTCATTACCAACCAAAGTAATGACTAGTAATGCAGGGCTCTCACCAGGAAATATTTAGGGTGTGGTGCTAACATCTTCAGAATAACCGTTCAATCATGATAAATCATATTTATGTTATGTTTTATCCTTTTTACATGCTATTATTTTATATTCAGTCAAGTTTAGACTATGGAAACAGTCATGATTTGCCAATAGGGTGTGGAGGGAGCTAAATAGAGTGTGGTGCTGCGCCACAGTCTAAAAGCCTGGCAAGAGCCCTGTAATGTATGGAATTTTAGTTGTGTATCCATAAATTGTATCTTTCATCCTGTCCCTCACGGGCCATGTATAGGTATCAAGAAAACAGCAATTTGAGACCTCTGTTAGAATGACTATGATAGTCAAATGAAAGGTGTTATCCAGTAGATTCTAATTACTGTATCGTTTTTATGATTTTAAGCTTCAGAAATTCCACAATGGTAACAAACCAGCTGTTGGAAATGATTTATGGGCAATTTAACTAATTAACTTCCCAGCAGTGGGTTTCAACACATCTGAAGACATGTTCCATTTAACTGTGTATAAGACAATACATGCATTTAAATATTCTTTGGATCTAATTTGAAAGTAAGTATTTTTCTGAAAATTCCATTTTGCCCATAAAACGTGTCAAAATTTGGTTGACACTCAATTTTTATAGGGTCCATTAATTAATAGAGGATACATTTAATGATATCAACCACATTTTTCAAAAGTTGCAGAAAAAACAAAATTGGATTTCTGAATTTTATCAAGTTAACTCAAGTATGAATATTGCAAGAGGTTTTATTGATGTCAATAAAGCAAAATACACAAACATCTCAAAATACAGATTGAAAGCAAATAATGTTTTATTCCAAATTAGAGACCAAAAATCAAAATTCTTTTATGAAATTTTGAAAAATAAGCAGTCTGAAAAATGGTTCATGAAAAAGAAATGGGAACGTAAATTTTGCTTCTTAAATAATGAAACCTACTATGAAATAAATTGGCAAAACTTTTTCTTTACAAAGATAAAATGTAAAGAAAAGAAGATTTCAACTATAAAATTATAAACAACATCCTTCCTAGTCTTAATGATTTACATCTATATGGAAAAAGTGAAACATATAATGGCAGTTTGTGCGGAGAAGTATGTACATTAAAACACTTGCTTATCGCATGTACACTCTCCCAAAATGTTTGGAAATATATCTTTAATGTATCAGGTTTAAAGATAACATATAGAAAGTTGATAATAGGCTATAATGGAAATGATGACCAGACTACATTTTTGAACTACTTTATTAGTATTGTAACATTTGTGATATATAAAGCATACATTCAAGAATTAAATAATGGAATAAAACTGAATTTTGAGAGAATTGTTAAAACTCTAAAATTCGAAATTTATGTATGTAAAAATGTATTTTTTAAAAACAACTGGAATATAAGATTGTAATTGATTTACTACTACTGTATCTGTACTTATTTTAGAAACTGAAATAAACTATATTGAAAAGGAAAAAAAAAAGAAAAATAGGGTCCACAATGCATCCATAAAAATCCAGTCTCATTCCATAAAGTCGCACCCCAATTGATGTACTAGATTAGATTAATTACTACTGTACTATTCTATATATATCATCTACGTCTTGGCATCATCACTGGCAATGAGGACACTCAGGACAGTGATGCTAAACTAACGTCTATATATATATCTTTTATTGACTCTTTAGATGTCATATCATGACATATTAGTCACTAAGGTAGAGCAGTTCTTCCCATTGTCGAGTTGAAGAACTGGTATCTCTATCCTGGCTAGAACCATAGACAATTCTTGCCAGCGCAAGCCTTTTATCGAGTTAGCAGCACTCTAGAGATCTGCTGACACTGACATGGGCAACGGAATAAGTTGCTATCTTCGGGCTGTCTTGGTGTCTTCAAGTGGTTAGCATATTATTACAGAATTTGTCAATGAAAATGTTACATTGTTGTATAATTGAGAAACCGTAACGCTACTAATGATAGGACAACATATACCAGTGTATAATGTATAAATGTACTGGTACAGTACAGTATGGGGTGGCTTACATTATTTTTATTCTTTTCAATTTTTCGTGATTAGTGAGACTTTAAAGATGTAAAGCAATAGGAGACACTTTTTAACTTTTTAAAGGTCAACAAAAGCTAAAAATATCAAATATCAGATCTGATTTCTTGAAAAGTGTTTGATTTCGAAATAAATGACCAACGGTGAATGAATACATTGAATTATAGACCACATTATGTTTGGAAAGGATTAACATTGTACAGAAAGAACTCTTTTGGTCCAAATAACATGAGTTAATAGCTAAGTCATTAAGTTACTCTTGCACATACAGCAACTACCACTTATTTGAAAGTTCTACCTTAACAGAGTGTCTGATATTTAAAGAAAATTTGACTTTTCCACGCCAAACTCGGCGATGACAGGTCAAATAAGCTATACATAGCTATACATAAAATGAATGTAGATAATGATTGGAACACTGACCTTTGCCCTTTTTCAGTAACCACCTGATGGCATCTTCTCTACAATGAGGCTATAGAGAAGACAATGACATATTAAGCAAAAACATTTTATTATGTATTTAACATTTTACTTTATTACAATAGTAATCTAGTACTGTACATTATTGCATTGTTTTACATTTTGGCACTTTAACATAAATATCACCTCACATGTTGTGAATATATCATATACCTGTACAATTCAATTGTTTTAACAAACTGATCTTAAAATAGTTCCATTATTTGCATAATTAATATTCTATTCTGTACACAGCTAATGATGAAAATATGTACATGAAAATGTCATGAAAAACATGGTATAAATTGCAATGTCCCAATTGAGCACATGTCGGCATGCTGCATGGAAAGATTTATAAAAAATATAACAAGAGGGGGTATATCGTAAGTAGGGCCCTGAAAAATAATACAGGGACCCCATTAGACCCCTTCAATTTTAGAGTATCTTGAAAAGGTATTTTTTATTTGTAAGTTGAATGTTATGAGTCTGATGATCCAAAGTTCAGTTGGTTTAACTGCACCCCTCCATGACTGCTACTAGAAATGTCTGTTGTGAGGTTAGCTTCATATGTTGGGTTCTCAAATGCTGGCTTCATTGGTATCTTCAATGGAGACCTCCTGCAGAAGAAACAAACTGGTTTAATAATTTCATACTCTACATTGAGGTTAATTTCTGCTTTTTGTGAATATCATATATGGTGTAAAGAATTGTGGATAATCAACTTGTTAAATGTTTTGATATTGATGTACTTGTGTACAAGTTGCATGGAACTGGAGATTACTAGTGAAAAATATAACGAGAGCAAACTACAGTAAAGCCTGGCATTCCTAATGACCCTAGGACTGGCCAGACAAGCAGGTGTTTATATTTTAAGTTTATTAACATGTTAATCTTTAAACAAGGCATTCACATGTAAAATGTCACAACCATTTGTTACAAACACCAACCAACGAGACCACCACAATGAGTCACCACTTTTTGATGGTGACATAAAAATTGAAATAAAGAGTTCACATTGAAAGGTGTTCAGATTACAGAGATGTGTGGTCTCATTGTATGTGTGGGATTGTCAACTTACAGCTTGCGTCTGAAGAGGAATCCCATCAAAACAATGATGATGACAACGAGGACTACAGCCCCAACACTGACGCCTACAATGACACCCGTCCTGTTGCTGCCACTATTTGACCCTGTCTGGCCTTGGGGAGCTTCTACAATACAACATCAAAAGTATGAGTCACAAATATCACATGGAATGAAGACTGGCAAAACCATAAATCAGTTATTAATAGAATATTTATCACTGCATGTTTAACTTACTTGGTGAGACTGATGGTTGACTGGATGAAGATTTTAATGTGCTGCCAATAGAGCTGCTAGACCCTATAATGGTATGAGAAAAGATACTATACATGTTTTTTTTTATGATAACTGGTATATCTAATTTCTGAAGTTCTATTAAAAACATTGATGTCTATGCTGATATCAGCAACATAAACTGTATGCTACCTTAATAACAACAGTTAATCATTACCATAAATTTTTTAATTATAGTTTATTTTTATTGAATAGCGGCTTAAGATGGAATTTTAGTAAATAACATACTGGTAGTTTTGATTTTTGGGACTAACATAAACATTGACTTCTCAACAAATCATGCATCAATTACTTTAATATTTTTTAAAGTATGAATTCAATGTGTTTGTGACCTGCTCCCTGTGGACAGTTCTTACTTCTTATCAATCATATAAAATATGTTTTACAACATATATATACAGGGTTGGCAAATAAAAATGGGACACTCACATAAATCCTAATGAAAATAGCAGATATGAACGAAATGTCATGAAAATTTGGGATGAACATTTGTGATTATTTATGTAAAATTTCAAATCAAACAATGCAAGTTTTCATTCTATTTCTCTTTAAGCAAGACATGTGACGCATCACCTCAAAAAACAGCTTTTGAAATTGCAGAATTTTTCGTAATTTCTATAATTTTAGGTACACTATTCTATTTCTCTTTATTTTCCCATCATTATATTCATATCTTGCCAAAATATCATTGCTATTTGTAGCCTAGACAGTCTCCTCTATGTGATAACATCGTGACCTTTCATAACAGAGCCTAACTACCACTTATTTGAAAGTTCTACCTTAACAGAGTGTCTGATATTTAAAGAAAATTTGACTTTTCCACGCCAAACTCGGCGATGACAGGTCAAATAAGCTATACATAGCTATACATAAAATGAATGTAGATAATGATTGGAACACTGACCTTTGCCCTTTTTCAGTAACCACCTGATGGCATCTTCTCTACAATGAGGCTATAGAGAAGACAATGACATATTAAGCAAAAACATTTTATTATGTATTTAACATTTTACTTTATTACAATAGTAATCTAGTACTGTACATTATTGCATTGTTTTACATTTTGGCACTTTAACATAAATATCACCTCACATGTTGTGAATATATCATATACCTGTACAATTCAATTGTTTTAACAAACTGATCTTAAAATAGTTCCATTATTTGCATAATTAATATTCTATTCTGTACACAGCTAATGATGAAAATATGTACATGAAAATGTCATGAAAAACATGGTATAAATTGCAATGTCCCAATTGAGCACATGTCGGCATGCTGCATGGAAAGATTTATAAAAAATATAACAAGAGGGGGTATATCGTAAGTAGGGCCCTGAAAAATAATACAGGGACCCCATTAGACCCCTTCAATTTTAGAGTATCTTGAAAAGGTATTTTTTATTTGTAAGTTGAATGTTATGAGTCTGATGATCCAAAGTTCAGTTGGTTTAACTGCACCCCTCCATGACTGCTACTAGAAATGTCTGTTGTGAGGTTAGCTTCATATGTTGGGTTCTCAAATGCTGGCTTCATTGGTATCTTCAATGGAGACCTCCTGCAGAAGAAACAAACTGGTTTAATAATTTCATACTCTACATTGAGGTTAATTTCTGCTTTTTGTGAATATCATATATGGTGTAAAGAATTGTGGATAATCAACTTGTTAAATGTTTTGATATTGATGTACTTGTGTACAAGTTGCATGGAACTGGAGATTACTAGTGAAAAATATAACGAGAGCAAACTACAGTAAAGCCTGGCATTCCTAATGACCCTAGGACTGGCCAGACAAGCAGGTGTTTATATTTTAAGTTTATTAACATGTTAATCTTTAAACAAGGCATTCACATGTAAAATGTCACAACCATTTGTTACAAACACCAACCAACGAGACCACCACAATGAGTCACCACTTTTTGATGGTGACATAAAAATTGAAATAAAGAGTTCACATTGAAAGGTGTTCAGATTACAGAGATGTGTGGTCTCATTGTATGTGTGGGATTGTCAACTTACAGCTTGCGTCTGAAGAGGAATCCCATCAAAACAATGATGATGACAACGAGGACTACAGCCCCAACACTGACGCCTACAATGACACCCGTCCTGTTGCTGCCACTATTTGACCCTGTCTGGCCTTGGGGAGCTTCTACAATACAACATCAAAAGTATGAGTCACAAATATCACATGGAATGAAGACTGGCAAAACCATAAATCAGTTATTAATAGAATATTTATCACTGCATGTTTAACTTACTTGGTGAGACTGATGGTTGACTGGATGAAGATTTTAATGTGCTGCCAATAGAGCTGCTAGACCCTATAATGGTATGAGAAAAGATACTATACATGTTTTTTTTTATGATAACTGGTATATCTAATTTCTGAAGTTCTATTAAAAACATTGATGTCTATGCTGATATCAGCAACATAAACTGTATGCTACCTTAATAACAACAGTTAATCATTACCATAAATTTTTTAATTATAGTTTATTTTTATTGAATAGCGGCTTAAGATGGAATTTTAGTAAATAACATACCGGTAGTTTTGATTTTTGGGACTAACATAAACATTGACTTCTCAACAAATCATGCATCAATTACTTTAATATTTTTTAAAGTATGAATTCAATGTGTTTGTGACCTGCTCCCTGTGGACAGTTCTTACTTCTTATCAATCATATAAAATATGTTTTACAACATATATATACAGGGTTGGCAAATAAAAATGGGACACTCACATAAATCCTAATGAAAATAGCAGATATGAACGAAATGTCATGAAAATTTGGGATGAACATTTGTGATTATTTATGTAAAATTTCAAATCAAACAATGCAAGTTTTCATTCTATTTCTCTTTAAGCAAGACATGTGACGCATCACCTCAAAAAACAGCTTTTGAAATTGCAGAATTTTTCGTAATTTCTATAATTTTAGGTACACTATTCTATTTCTCTTTATTTTCCCATCATTATATTCATATCTTGCCAAAATATCATTGCTATTTGTAGCCTAGACAGTCTCCTCTATGTGATAACATCGTGACCTTTCATAACAGAGCCTAACGTTTAATGGACATATTGTATGAATTGTTCCAAAAATCCCTGAAAATCAGAGATTCTATGTGAAAATGAAACTACGTTATGACCTCAGATTATGATAGGTTGATTACGCAATGAAACTCGAAACAAATTGAGGTTAGAATGGTAGCAAAAGCTTTAGGAACGCATATGCAATTTACAGTAATGACCTCTTTGAGATTAAGCGCTATTATCGCAGACAGAGGCAGACATACCTTTCCATGCATTTCTTTATTATTTTTAGATTGTAAATTGTGACATAACAATCAAAAACATTTAAGATAAGTCACATAATATCATATCTTATTAAAGCTAAATGGATTCTCCATCATTTTGTATATAACACATGGTCGATCAGTTTGATCCTAATTACTTCGAAGAATGATACAACGTGTCCTATTTTTTATTGCCCACCCTGTATATGACTTGTCAAAAACATGTATCATCTGAAGCACTGGTTTTAAAAACATTCATTGCTACGCTAATAAATTGCAAGTGGTTTTATACTCCAAATGAGAAATATTATTTTTGACCTATAAGATATCATAACATCTGATTTGTGAGAAATTTAACATAAACAATTGCACTCACCTTTAGTTGGTCCTGGTGTAGCAGAGTTTGCCATGCATGCGGCAGGATACGTTGACCAGGTGCCGTCATTCTGGCAAGTTGAGATGAATGTCTTCTCTCCGTTGGCAGTAAGTGGGTCGTTACAGGTGAATGTGGCAGTGTCACCTACAGAGACGCCTGTTAACACAACCTTGGCCCCTGTCACTTGGATAGGATCTCCACACGACTCCGCTGATAGAAAATATCACATGATGTCATAATGTTACAAGGCAATAGGGCAGCCTGATGCTTGATTCAAGCGGAAACATCTAGCTCGCCAAAATATTACAGAACAGATATTTCCTTCAATTGAAACTTTGAAAATGAAGTCTTCTTGTTACTATGGGTACTTGAAGCGGATGCCTTCTTTATATACTGAAATGCAACAAGCATGAAATTGTGTTTCCTACCTATACAAATAGGAGGGCTAGCAGACCAGTCTCCTGTAGTTGTGCAGACAATGGTCTCTGCACCCTCCAAAATATAACCCTCCTGGCACTTAAAGGTGGCCACCCCATTGTAACCCAGAGAGCTGATTGTCACTGTAGACAGTGGGTGGATTATTGGTGTTCTGCACTGTGTCACTGCAAAAGAAATTGCATTATACATACACTGATCCTCATAAGTTAGGCAACAAGTCTTCATTTGATAGCATGTTAAAACCTGTAAATGTAAGTGTAAAACCGTGTGTGTGTGTGGCGGTCATGCCATCTTTTATTTGATTAAAAGTACATAAATATGAAATCTAAAAAATAAAAGTTCGCTACAGGCGAACCTATGCACCAACAAGAACTTATATTGTTATGTTTGATTAATAATCAATAGGTGGTAAACATAAAACCTGTTAATGTAAGTGTATCTTAAAGGAGGGGGAGTTGTTTGTAGAATGAATCATGCATTTCACTTATGTTTTTCATCCAAAAACATCAATACACTTTAAAACATTTTATTGAATATCAAGATTGCACCATATAATCTCAAAAAATATTTCTCATTTTCAAGGATTATTTATGGATTAGCACCCAGGTATTTTCATTTTCAAACTTCAGAGGACTGGGAATCAATGATCCTATTCGCTTTTGAATAATATAAATGCTGTTTGAAATAGGTTTCATGTATGCCAATAATCTCTCAAATTGTCTAAATGGTACCCATTCTTTGAACCCTAGAATTTGAGGAATACCCCATAGAAATCCAATTGTACAGTTCCAAGCATTATTTGAGATAACAGCAAAGTAAATCTTTAATACACACTTTTTGGGTTGCGATATAAACCAAAACAAGCCAATAAGGTGTGTATTAAAGATTTATTTACTTATAGACAAGCCTCAACAGACAAGATTTTAGGATGGAAATTCAAAAATCGCCTCCTTTACATTTACCCAAAATGCCAAAAAACTAATCAGTTTCAAACTTTCATATGTAGAAACTAGGGATGTCATGATTTCCTAATATTGTCCCTTCAATCAGGACCTAAGCGTAACCTATGTACTGAAGATTTTGGTCCATGTTGAGGATATACTAATCACCCTGTAACCCTAAAACTTCCCAAATACACGATGAATATGATTGACTTACAATTTTCTTTTGTATTAACAAATTCCCTGCCGGATTACGTTCATGCGTAAATTCCATTTTGTTGCAATTGCTTACTATAATTGATTATATTAAACAAAAATTCCATTTTGTTGCAATTGCTTACTATAATTGATTATATTAAACAAAAATTCCATTTTGTTGCAATTGCTTACTATAATTGATTATATTAAACAAAAATTCCATTTTGTTGCAATTGCTTACTATAATTGATTATATTAAACAAAAATTCCATTTTGTTGCAATTGCTTACTATAATTGATTATATTAAACAAAAATTCCATTTTGTTGCAATTGCTTACTATAATTGATTATATTAAACAAAAATTCCATTTTGTTGCAATTGCTTACTATAATTGATTATATTAAACAAAAATTCCATTTTGTTGCAATTGCTTACTATAATTGATTATATTAAACAAAAATTCCATTTTGTTGCAATTGCTTACTATAATTGATTATATTAAACAAAAATTCCATTTTGTTGCAATTGCTTACAATAATTGATTATATTAAACAAAAATTCCATTTTGTTGCAATTGCTTACTATAATTGATTATATTAAACAAAAATTCCATTTTGTTGCAATTGCTTCACTGGGGATGAACTGGAAACGAGGGAGGTTTTGCCTCGTATCAAAATGGCGGCGCGTGAAAAAATTTCATTCGGTAAGATTTTTGTTTTTTACAATTTTCGTGCTTTTATCCTTCAAATTAAAACTTAATATTTGGCAAGTAAATAGTTCATAAGTTCCGGTTTTATAATATTATTACAAATTAGAGATCAATACTGGCATTGCTGAGATATTTACATATCAATTCTCTCACTTAGGAAACGAGGCATGTTTCTCAAGGAAACGAGGCAGCTATATAGCATTCTTAAGAATGAAACGAGGCAACCATATTTAATTAAAAATGTTTTGTTTTTATTACAGAACGGGGCCTACAAAAAGAAGCGTCCCTGTTCAAATGCTATTTCTGTAACACAGGAAACGACAACGTTGCTGATATTGTATACCCACGGTTATGGGAAGTCCTCCATATATTACTTATATTATTTGTCAGGTTACGCAGCTTCCATCCAAAATAAAAAATATGTATTTTAAAAATAAATTATTTGTCTAGTTTTCGCTAAACAAATATCCTGAGACACATAGGGCCTGTAGAAAACACTAAATAGAAAAATAAAAAATATTCATACCTCAAAATCTGCTTTATTGGTCAGATAATGCACCAAATCATAATGGTTGTTCAAAATAAAAATTTAAGGGGACGGAGTGTCTTATCTCGCGAGAATAAAGCAAATCACGCAAAGGCGAGCATGCGCATAACGGTACCCGGAAACATGGCTCAGTTTTTTTTCGACCAATCAAATAGCTTGAAATTTACCAAACCATTTCGTCCAGTGTTTCACAACCTGAAGTAGGTCATGACACATGCGCAGTAGAAATTGTCAATTTACTGAGCGGACCTTTCAATGGCCTGGAGAAATTTTACTCACGAGAATTGATGATTACTGAACACATATAGGCATAAGAGGTGAGCGACCCAGTTATTTTTGCGTATAAATGTTTCAAGAATAGCATGATATCAAATAATCTGTACAGTATGCTACGATTCATTCAAAAATTGAATCTAGAGGACAGGTGACCATATTTTTCATATTTTTTTAATTCTTAGTCGCATAACCTGGTGTATATACCTCCTAGATGGAGGACTTCCCACTATCCGTGTGTATTCCATATGATGCAACAGCATGATGGTAATCTCTCTGTACGGAAACGAACGTTAGATGAGAAAACAGGTTCATTTGTATACACGTCTCATCATTTTGGCGTTGCCATTGAACGTGTAAGAACGCTTAAGAAGGAAGGGCATACTGTGATGATAAATTCTGATATGCAGTTGAGAATAAAACGACGGATCGAGAGAGAATCAAGTAAATATATATTCAAATTATTAACAGTTTGATTGTGTTTTGTTGGTTAATAGCAACTGAGTTTCTATATGGTATGCCTTTGGGCGAATGTTCCCCTTTATAAAGGCGCACATGAGCGTTTATTTCCTTCTATTAACTTATGTCGCAAAACTTGTAAATGTTTTATACTTGATCGCAAATGGAGTTATGAATTGCCAGAAATGTAAAATTATTTTGACTACCCTGTACGAGGTATGCATATAAGGAGTTATTAATGTGCCCTAAACCAGGGTCCCTCTACATCCCGCTTTACATGTACATGTAGCAGTATAAGCTGCTATCAGATATATTCTTTATAGTAATGGCATTTTCTTTATTTTCATTTTCAGGTGTAAACATCTCAAATTCTGATTCATTGTACCTGTATATGATGTGATTGCTTTTGCGTGCATTGGAACAACTTAACGCGCAAATAGTGTACATGTAACATTTTATGTTATACTGTTGTAATCCGATCCTTTCAAAATGATGAACAAGGTATTGGTACTTTATTTGCTTGCATTCGACGCTCACCAGAACACCCCCCCCCACCCAATCAAAAGCTGGCTACACAACCCTGTAATACGCATGGCCCACATTTGAATTCAACCATGGAAATTAAGCTTCATCCATGTTGTCTTGCTCTGAAAGATAAATGACCAGTGTAGCGCTTTATGAACAATATGGTTATTCTTTTTAACTCTTACATATATAATCATGTATATCGTGTAAAACGTAATCGGTCGTATGTGACCAGAACGGTGGAAATAAGATCATTAAATGTAGACACTATCACAGAAAGAATAGTTGCCTCGTTGCAAGTCAAACATTGCCTCGTTTCATTGTTACAAAATGTAGACAGGTGCCTCGTTTCCTAAGTGAGAGAATTGAAATGTAAATATCTCATCAATGTCTGTATTGATTTCTAATTTGCAATCATATTATAAAACCGGAACTTATAAGCTATTTACTTGCCAAATATTAAGTTTTAATTTGAAGGATAAAAGCACGAAAATAGTAAAAAACAAAAATCTTACCGAATGAAATGTTTTCACGCGCCGCCATTTTGATACGAGGCAAAACCTCCCTCGTTTCCAGTTCATCCCCAGTGTGCTTACTATAATTGATTATATTAAACAAAAATTCCATTTTGTTGCAATTGCTTACTATAATTGATTATATTAAACAAAAATTCCATTTTGTTGCAATTGCTTACTATAATTGATTATATTAAACAAAAATTCCATTTTGTTGCAATTGCTTACTATAATTGATTATATTAAACAAAAATTCCATTTTGTTGCAATTGCTTACTATAATTGATTATATTAAACAAAAAGAGCCAAATGAGCATAACTGAAAGTACGAAAAATGTTAGTTGTTGAACTCTTTTAAAGTTATTAAAGGTCGCATATAACGATAAAAGTGATTTTCACTCCATATTAAAAGCTTTCATACAGCAATTTGCTGTGTATATAACACTTATTTGTACATACGCACTTAGAGTGAATATTCATCTTTCATTCCATATAAAGAGTACAGAAATTGATCAAATATTGATGGAGTGGGAGTTGTTACAATGACCCCCTACAGTTAGAGTTATTTTGTATATAAATGTGAAATAATTTGGGGAATCCACTAACAGTTTGTCATCGTGACATTTGTTTTGGGGAATTCCTAACAACAGTCAAATACTTTCACTCTCATTATTAGAGCAAATAGCGTATTTATTGCATTTAATTGATTGAAATGAATCTAATTGATGATATACTTAAAAAACTCATTTTTATTGTGTTCTTAGCCCTTGATAGTTATATACATCCTTTAACTATTTATTCGTTATATCCTGTCAAAAATGGATGATTCCCATCCTAACCCAAAATATTTTTGTCCCATGACATCATTACTAGAAACATCCCTGAAAATTTCAGATGAATCCAACAAAATGTTTAGCTGGAAACCTGTAGACAAGATTCATTGGGATACCCCTTCGCCCATCCACCTGATAAAAACTGATCACAATATAGCAACCCAAGGGTGCAATAAAAATAACATTCATACAATTCTTTATAAATACCACAACATATACATAAAAAACAGGCACAGACATCCATATATTAAACCAGTCTCTCCCCATCATTAGTTTGGCAACCAGGAGTTTTCATTGAATGGCATATGAAAGTCATGTAAATGTTTGAATCTTCATTTTATTGAATTAGTGTTTAAAATCACCAAACATACATAGGCTTTAATGAGTAATCAAAAAGGGGAATAACAGTTGGCAAACCTTTTGAAGGGAAGTGGTGAGAATGAGACATGACACATGTGAGCTAAGAATATGTTATATATACAGTATATTATTATTATGTATGTATATGTCTAACCTGTGCAAGTTGGCGCCACATCAGGCATCCATGTACCATCCTGCCCACACTTTCTAACATTGTTACCACTAACCATATAACCTTCACTACAGGAATATTGGGCCACATTGCCAAATGCATTACCATCTAATACCACACTGCCTTTATCTGGGGAATCAAGCTTATTGGGACACGTCACAACTGAAAATCAAAAACGCAATTAAGAATACTCCATTTTATAAACAATTGTAAAATATTAAAATTACTACAATTTGTTTGTTTCACAGATTGACTAATATTATGATACATGTACATGTATATTACTTAATCCTACCTGCATATGTCAATGTTATTTCAGTTGAAACTTTTTAATTCAAAATGAGATACACATTTGTGACAATGGCATCATAAAAAATTTACAATAAAACCTGTCTAATCCAACCATCACTGGGAGCAGCCAGTGTTCAGCAGGTGTTCATATTTCAAGGTTGTTTTTTAAAACATGTGGATCAATGGTAGGGATAAATAAACAAGGCACATGACGTGAACAAGATCACACCATCAAGAAACCTTCAAAATGGCCATCAGAAAACAAGATGGCCACTCAAAAGTCAATCAGCTCTAGAACTTGATATCCTCTATCATGTATGCAAATTTGAAGAAAATCTGATTTATCAGTTTTCCTGAAATCACGATGATAAGATTTATCAACAAAAACCTTCAAATGGCCACCAGAAAACAAGATGACCTCAAAAAAGTTAATCAGCTCTAGAACTTAAAATACACTGAGGCTTCATGTCACCAAAGGTTCCACCTTGCATACGCTGCCTTATATCTTCATTCAATACAAAGCATCACTGTACTTACAGATACACTGAGGCTCCACACCACCCCAGGTTCCATCTAGCATATACTGCCTTATATCTCCCTTCAATACAAAGCATCACTGTACTTACAGATACACTGAGGCTCCACACCACCCCAGGTTCCATCTTGCATATACTGCCTTATATCTCCCTTCAATACAAAGCATCACTGTACTTACAGATACACTGAGGCTCCACACCACCACAGGTTCCATCTTGCATACACTGCCTTATATCTCCCTTCAATACAAAGCATCACTGTACTTACAGATACACTGAAGCTCCACACCACCCCAGGTTCCATCTTGCATAAACTGCCTTATATCTCCCTTCAATACAAAGTATCACTGTACTTACAGATACACTGAGGCTCCACACCACCCCAGGTTCCATCTTGCATATACTGCCTTATATCTCCTTTCAATACAAAGCATCACTGTACTTACAGATACACTGAGGCTCCACACCACCCCAGGTTCCATCTTGCATATACTGCCTTATATCTCCTTTCAATACAAAGCATCACTGTACTTACAGATACACTGAGGCTCCACACCACCCCAGGTTCCATCTAGCATACACTGCCTTATATCTCCCTTCAATACAAAGCATCACTGTACTTACAGATACACTGAAGCTCCACACCACCCCAGGTTCCATCTAGCATACACTGCCTTATATCTCCCTTCAATACAAAGCATCACTGTACTTACAGATACACTGAGGCTCTACACCACCCCAGGTTCCACCTTGCATATACTGCCTTATATCTCACTTCAATACAAAGCATCACTGTACTTACAGATACACTGAAGCTCCACACCACCCCAGGTTCCATCTAGCATACACTGCCTTATATCTTCCTTCAATACAAAGCATCACTGTACTTACAGATACACTGAGGCTCCACACCACCCCAGGTTCCATCTTGCATACACTGCCTTATATCTCCCTTCAATACAAAGCATCACTGTACTTACAGATACACTGAGGCTCTACACCAACCCAGGTTCCATCTAGCATACACTGCCTTATATCTCCCTTCAATACAAAGCATCACTGTATTTACAGATACACTGAAGCTCTACACCACCCCAGGTTCCATCTTGCATATACAGCCTTATATCTCCCTTCAATACAAAGAATCACTGTACTTACAGATACACTGAGGCTCCACACCACCCCAGGTTCCATCTTGCATATACTGCCTTATATCTCCCTTCAATACAAAGCATCACTGTACTTACAGATACACTGATGCTCTACATCACCTCAGGTTCCATCTAGCATACACTGCATTATATCTCCCTTCAATACAAAGCATCACTGTACTTACAGATACACTGAGGCTCTACACCACCCCAGGTTCCATCTTGCATGCACTGCCTTATATCTCCCTTCAATACAAAGCATCACTGTACTTACAGATATACTGAGGCTCTACACCACCCCAGGTTCCATCTTGCATACACTGCCTTATATCTCCCTTCAATACAAAGCATCACTGTACTTACAGATACACTGAGGCTCCACACCACCCCAGGTTCCATCTTGCATATGCTGCCTTATATCTCACTTCAATACAAAGCATCACTGTACTTACAGATACATTGAGGCTCCACACCACCCCAGGTTCCATCTAGCATATACTGCCTTATATCTCCCTTCAATACAAAGCATCACTGTACTTACAGATACACTGAAGCTCCACACCAACCCAGGTTCCATCTTGCATATACTGCCTTATATCTCCCTTCAATACAAAGAATCACTGTACTTACAGATACACTGAGGCTCTACACCACCTCAGGTTCCATCTTGCATATACTGCCTTATATCTCCCTTCAATACAAAGCATCACTGTACTTACAGATACACTGAGGCTCTACACCACCCCAGGTTCCATCTAGCATACACTGCCTTATATCTCCCTTCAATACAAAGCATCACTGTACTTACAGATACACTGAGGCTCTACACCACCCCAGGTTCCATCTTGCATATACTGCCTTATATCTCCCTTCAATACAAAGCATCACTGTACTTACAGATACACTGAGGCTCCACACCACCCCAGGTTCCATCTAGCATACACTGCCTTATATCTCCCTTCAATACAAAGCATCACTGTACTTACAGATACACTGAGGCTCAACACCACCCCAGGTTCCATCTTGCATAAAGTGCCTTATATCTCCCTTCAATAAAAAGCATCACTGTACTTACAGATACACTGAGGCTCTACACCACCCCAGGTTCCATCTAGCATACACTGCCTTATATCTCCCTTCAATACAAAGCATCACTGTACTTACAGATACACTGAGGCTCTACACCACCCCAGGTTCCATCTTGCATATACTGCCTTATATCTCCCTTCAATACAAAGCATCACTGTACTTACAGATACACTGAGGCTCCACACCACCCCAGGTTCCATCTAGCATACACTGCCTTATATCTCCCTTCAATACAAAGCATCACTGTACTTACAGATACACTGAGGCTCCACACCACCCCAGGTTCCATCTTGCATAAAGTGCCTTATATCTCCCTTCAATAAAAAGCATCACTGTACTTACAGATACACTGAGGCTCTACACCACCCCAGGTTCCATCTAGCATACACTGCCTTATATCTCCTTTCAATACAAAGCCAAAGTTGCATTCAAAGTTCACCATGTCACCAATCTCATAGAACTCTGTGGTTTTGTTGTAGTTTGTAATGAGTTTTCCATTGGCTGGGTAGCCAGGGTCACCACAGTATACTGGCTCACCTTCACCTGGAGAATCGACATGTTTTGTAGATATAAATGGATGGAAAGACTTATGTTAAAAATATTAACTTGTACATTTCAATAAATGTATATGTACAAGGTGACACAAAAAATGCAACCCTCCATTTTTGCATTTTTGGTCACCCTATATATAAAATGAAGTTTCATTATCCTGAATTGTCATGAGTTGGGGATTTATAGATTCCTCCATCCTTATTATAAATAAAATGATACAATTTTGACCTGGAAATTGATATACGTACAATGTTTTCCATGATTATTTCACCCTCCACAGCGCACGAACATGTATTAGGAAATGAAATGCTTACCCCCAACACAGTTTGGTGTTGACCCTGACCATGTCTGATCAGCCTTGCATGTCCTGGTGTTGGCTGGGGTGTCCAATGCGTAGCCATCTAGGCAGCCATATGTAGCTACACTGCCAATCTGAAATGAGACAGAATGTAGAATCTCTCTTGGCACACAATGGGCTTCATAGAGAGCCTATTGGCATTTGGCAAAATGATCAATTGATGTTAAATGTTGAATGTTATCTTTAATCTTTATCCTATTACCTATTTACATACATAGCTAGTTCCTTGAACTGTATATCATATGTGTATTTATCAATTGCCTTTTGTAGATGTGGAACAAATGGGATAATTCTTTATAAAAATGAATTTTTAAAACACAGGAACCAAGAATTTGAGAAAAAAACAAAATGATGAAAATAGGAAGAGAAGAAAGTAGATCTTACTTCAGCTCCACTTGTGAGGCGGAGATATCCAAAAGCAGGTACACCAGGGTCTCCACACTGTATAAACCCACAGCTATCAGACTGACCCTCCCAGGTGCCATCTGCCTTACACACATAGCTATTCTCCACCCTCCCTGATCTCAGTGACAGGCCACCCTGACACTTTTGCTTAGCAACACAACCAGTGCAGAAGTACTCATCCTTGTTGCTAAGGAAACCATTGTCAAGATTGGGAATTTTGGCAGCATCACATCCAACAACTATTTCAAAAAAAAAGAGAATTAATTAATACAGTAAAATGTGTTTAGATATACAAGTTTTACTGTACACAAACCATTTTACAAACAATATTTAAAGGGATCTGCATTGTAATTGTTGGTCCATTTATTGTACCTTTGTAGCTGATCCAGAATCCTTTTTCCTTTCTGTTAGACAGAAACAGATTTGTTTTAAATAGAATGGTCACTTCATTACTGGTGCTCACATAGGGTGCCTGAGGGGATGATCCACAGTACCTGATAACATAAGAATATATAACAAAATAAAATATAGAAACAACCATCAAAATCAAATGTTTGTAAATATTTTACATGGATGCTGGGATTTCTGCATTCATCCCTGAAGGATATATTGAGAAAAATATGTTAATTTGAAGTGAAGTAGTTTCAAAGGCTTTTTAAATCATTATTTGCTCCAAATGACAGTTGCCTTTCATGCATCCTAATAACACCAACACATTCATGAACATAGAGGCTAAGGAATCCACCAAACAAGCTCTATGAATTACTTAATACACTAATCTCAGTACCTTTTAGATGTGCCATCTTTGTTTATTACATCCAAATAGTCAGCATCACCACATTTGCTCCCAGTATAGACTGCAAACTCATTAAAGGTGATGCGAACCCTCTGCCCTAGCCCTGCTTTGACCTTCCAAGGACAGTTTAGAAGAGCACTGTACTTCCTTGGGTAGTTAGGGCTGAATATATCACCCTCAGGGAGTGGCATCTGGTCTGACCCACAGGTGGCAAAAGCTAAAGATAACAAAGATAGGGCAGTAATATCTATGTATCAGTTATGTATATGTGTATGTTGTGAAAATTAAAACAGACAAAAAGCCCAAAGTTTATAAATATTTTTGCATTCTATTGTTCAGGTGATATACAAAAATTCATTGCAATCTCTGTGTGTGAGAATAGTAATATGATATGCCATTAAGCCCATTACCTTTATATTTAAGTGAGAATCCTTTAGCACTGGGTACAGCACTCTTACGCTTCAACTCTAAACAGACCCAGACACCACTTGAGAAAAACACATCTGGCAGTTTGTCCTGAATTCTTGCACTTGACACAGAACTGGTAAAAGCAGGAGAAATGAAAAATGTACATGTACGTGGTTGGACATTAACATATTCTACTTGAATAAATGTACATATATATGGTTGACCTGATTAAAACATTCTACTTTCCATATTCTCAATAATTAGTGCCCAGGGTATTTAGCAAATTTAAAATACATCCTTCAGATCATTCTAATAAGCGCCCATATATGAAGTCAAAATTCCCCGGGAATTTCATGCATGGCAATTTTTCCTGCCAAGAATGCCATATTTGCAACATCAAAACAAAGTAACAGCATAGTTTTACAATAAAAAGCAAGGATTTAAGTAGACAATATAGACAGAGATTGAAGAAATCCCCAACAGGGTCCCTCAAATGGGAGGTATTGTTTTCCCCCGATTATCTTCCATATTTCCACTAGAGACTGTTGGATATAAATCTCAAGTTATACCTTATCTTTTTAATTTGATGATAGTCTTTTTTGAAAGTCATGTTAAAGGCGAGAAATGTTAAAAAGAAACGTGAAATGTGACAATGTTTTAACGTGGGCAGACGAAACTATTTTGGTAAAATGCCGATCAGAATTCCTAACCTTGACCTAATACCCTTCATTCATTATAGACTATTTTGAGATAATATTAGTTTAGTATGATGAGGGGAGCACCCAATGATAGATTCATTGGGAGGATGCACCAAATTACAAAATGTGTCACGTTTACGGCAGTTTAGTATAAGTACTCTAGTATTGCCCACTCAAAGGACGATTCTCGGTTTGGAGAACGAAGTTCATCAATCTAAATGAGCATTATCCCTGCTTCGGACAAATTTGATTTTTTTTACATAACATAGATTTGAGTGTCTTCTTTTGAATAGTCATAATTTAATTTGGGTAATATTTCTAGATTTTTCGCAAAAAAATATTAGCGCAGCACACTGATGAACTTCTTTCCTCAAATCGAGACTTGTATTTTATTGAATCGGTCTAATTGAGCGTTATCCCTGCTTCAGACCAAGTTGTTATTTTTACATCTTGTAGATTTAAATGTCTTCTTTTGAATATTCATAATTTAATTTGGGTAATATTTCTATATTTTTCATGAAAAAAATTATTAGCCCAGGAGACTGTTCTCCAAACCGAGAATCGTCCTTTCTTTGGAAATTCAATTTTTTCTGATGTACATGTACATGGTTGGCCATTAAAACATTCAACTTAATAACGCAGATGCGAGTAGGTAGTTACCAGTTTCACCACCAGGTGGCTCGTTCGGGTCAGATAGCATGGCGGGTATAGAAGAAAGTTCCCTTTAACTTAAATTACATCTGTTTTAGTGCTTCTATTTTCATATAACCCTTATGTATCTAATAGTCATGCAAATTAAAATATGTCCAGTAAAAGAAAATGTTATCTGTCCAACACAAGAAAAGATATTTCACTTTTTCTGATTTTGTAACATGGGGTCTATGGGGAATCAACCCGAACAAGAAGTCACATTTTCAAAAAAAATTAAATTTTCAAAGTTGATAAACAACTTTCGAAACCATATTTTTAGATGTACTTTAACATGTAGATTTCAAATATGATATCACTTTGACTGAATTTTGAATATTTAATGACGTAAATCAAGATTATTTCTACTTGCATCTAGTCTATTGTGGAGCTGGCTTCTCTGAAGTTGTGAGAATAATCTTTATGAATCTTGGAGTATTATCTTAATTTGGGACTTTAACCTTCTTGAATTTAGAAACAAACGTTCCTGAATTTAAATGCATAATCTTCATAAATCTAAAAGGACCTTTCAGGAAGAATCTTGGAGTATTATCTTAATTTGGGACTTTAACCTTCTTGAATTTAGAAACATAAACGTTCATGAATTTAAATGCATAATCCTCATAAATCTAAAAGGACCTTTCAGGAAGAATCTTGGAGTATTATCTTAATTTGGGACTATAACCTTCTTGAATTTAGAAACATAAACGTTCCTGAATTTAAATGCATAATCTTCATAAATCTAAAAGGAGCATAATACAAGTATTCATGAATGTAGGATCACATGTAATATTCCTGGATTTCCTCAATGTATTAGCCTGGGTTACACCGAAAATATGTAAGAGTAGTGATATGTTGAATCAATTCCTATCAACTCATAATGTAAGTACTGGTATACAAGGGAAGTAATAGATTATGACATAATCTTACTTGTATCTCCTGAGTCTCCTGCTGGGAGCTACAAGGACATTGTCACTGCAATATGGCCCATCATAGATGGTTAACACATCTCCCTTGTTTAGCTTTACATCAGTTAGATATAACCTGGAGCGGAACCCAGTTGGGACCCTAATCTATAAATTGAACATTTTGAGACATTACACTTTGGTTAAGTATTACATACTCTTAATTTCATCATGAGCAATTCAAGAGCTAGTTTGAAAGCCCATGATTCCATTTCAAACATAATATATGTTAGAATTGGAAGACTGGTTGATAAATATTTTCAACATCCTGGTAGTGTAAAAGAGGTGATCATTTAATTTCTTATATGAGAGTGATATTTATGAACACCCCTCATATATTCTAAATCCTTATTATCATGTTTCATACCTTAAATTCCCTGAATCTTTCATGAAGTGGAATTATATCCATTACAGTAATCATTTATAAATTAGTTCCCACCTTGTTAATACATAGATCTCCTGGTGTGTTGTAAGGTTTGGGGTAATTCTCTGAGGTGATTAGTCCTTCCATTCTATAGGCCCAGTTACTTCCACACTTTGACACTGAAATAGAGCAACATTGCAATGACTTTAGAACACATCCACTATTTACACGCCACAAAATGAAATACATGTGTTCATCATACAAACAAACATCCTAGGAACCTTATAAATGTGACTAATGGGTAACATTTGTCATTAACAGATGATATGACCAAAAACAAACACCGTATATGTCAATAATGCTATTTTATAATCAACCTACCTACAGGTGGTGCTGTTGGAATAGTCCTTGGGATAAGTCTGGTTGTTGTAACTTGGACTAAAATAAATATTCAACATTCAGATAGAAAACATTTGGTTCAGATATGAAACATTCAAATAAAGTAAATCCTGCGAACCAGGAATGCCCTCCTGACTGACCAAAACTGTTAGACATGCGTTCCCTATAGAGAGGTTTCAAGTTTTGGGTTACCCCAAAATGAACCCCAGTGAAAAGTCGTTTGCGGGCCAAAAACGTCACAAAACATTTAAATATTGCTTGGCTACCATGTGTATTAAAATGAAACAGTTGCCATATTACTGATTAGATGACATGTCCAAATACATCCATTATTAATTATTTTGACCACGATGTCGACTGTATCATCCTATCGATAAGTGCGGGACGTCGACTATAGTCAACTTTGCACACATACTATTCTGTATACCCTATATAGCACACATACAATTCTGTATTTTCATTCTATTCATAGATGTCAGGCTATGTCTAGCCCCATGGATTATATTTGTACTAGACGAAACAAGAACAAACAGGAAGTTAATGATATTTTCATAAAATAAATCAATGTTTTCTCCAATATTATTAGACTCCAGATTGAAAATCTGGAGTCTATTGTTTTTGCCAGTTTTCCTATTATTCTTTCTTTCTTTCTTTCTTTCTTTCTTTCTTTCTTTCTGAACACTTTTTCTCAGCAACTAGAAGAATTTACTTTAACCTACTTACATGGCTAACATAGCCCATCAACCTAATTTCTGGGAAATTAGGTCAAATTTTTATCTAGGTCAAAAGTCAAGAACTAGGTCAAATTTAGGTCAAATCAACATTCTGTCAATTATCTTCGTTGTTGTTTGTCCTTGCTTCTTTATCTTTTTTTTCATCATGTAGCTTAGAAAAAAACAAATCGATAATGTGCCATCCGTTTTTTGATTACTCTTACCGATTTTGAGATATGGCGTCCGGAATGTAGGTCAAACTAAAAAGTTAACCAAATTTAACATATGAGCTATGAAATAAGTGTAGAATTTTCTCAGGAATCTGAATCTGTAAACCTCCGGTTCGAAAGTTATGGTGTTTTGAAAATTTCGAGAAAAATCGATCTGATGATATCCTGATAGAAAGTCAAGAGTAGCAAAGAAAATATAGAAAAAAAGATCCATCCTTCCTTCCTATCCTGTCTGATCATATCCTTCTCCTTTCTATCCTTTCCTTCCTATCCTACCCTTCCTTCCTATTCTATATCCTATCCTATCCTAGAACTGGGTCAAATCTTACATTTTCAATATTCTATCAATTATCTTCGTCGTTATTTATCGAAACATCTTCATCTTTTTTCCATCATGTAGCTTATAAACAGCCCTTTTATAAGTGTGCCATCCGTTTTTTGATTACTCTTACTGATTTTGAAATATGGCATCTGGAAAGTAGGTCAAAACAAAAAGTTCTCCAAATTCAATGTATGAATTATGAGTTAGGGGTAGAATTTTGTCAGGAATCCGAATCTGCAAACCAAATTTCGATCCGATTTCCCGTTCGGAAGTTATGGCGTTTTGAAAGCTCAAAAATCGCTAAATTTGGTGCTTCATGTTAAGTCAATGGGAAAAAAGACTTTTTTGAATTGTAAAATATGAGATATAGACTGAGTGCAGCTTAACATAATGAATTCCTATAAAAGAAGGGATTTGGACACCAAAATCTTAAGGTCAAAATCTAGGTCAAATTCATAGTTTTTTCTAATTTTTACACTACACTACACTTAAATGATTAGCCTAACTGTATATCACTTAGAACAACAATATTAGTTCAGATACCTTCACATTGTCTGTAGACTTTGTCCCATTGGCCATCTTGTTTACACATGGACTTTACAGTGACTTCTCCATTTATGAAATATCCCAGGTTACACCTGATAGTCACAGTGTCACCATACATCTGAGCGCCGAAGTACAGCTTCCCATTCTTCACAGGAGGGTAATTTGGACACTTTACAGCTGGGAACAAATATAGGTTAACACAATATGTATCGTTTGATTATGTGAAGTAAAATTAAAACAATTTTTAGAATTTTCAAATATTTTCATGATCTGTAATTAAAGAAACAATTCTGAACAAGACATTATTATAATATATACTATATATATAAGAAACATATTTAATGATCATTGAAAACAATCAAAATTCAAAATATTACAAAAATTGTCCATCAAGGTAATTTTAGCTTGAAAAGATTGTTAACATCACATTTTCTGTTTTCATTTTCTGGCTTCTTAGGCTTTCAGATATAACGTGCATTTTTAGTCGTTCAGATATAACATGTGTTCTTACCTATACATATAGGAGAATCACCAGACCATGTGCCATCAGCCTGGCATTCTCTGAGAGAGAGGCCTCTGAGGACATATCCCTGGGTACAGCTGTAATATGCCTTGGTCTTGTACTGGTTATAGTCTCCCTGTCTGTTGGTGGTCACTACGCCCTTCGGGTGCAAGTCTGGGGCGCCACAGGTAATATCTGTTATTTGGAGAAAACGTATGAAGATCATTCAAGAAGTACAGATACTTGTATAACTAGAAAACAGCAAATCCTACCAAACAAAATATGGTTTTGATCATTTTTTCTTGAGCAGAGCTCCTTTGTCCCTAGGTATCAGCATGTAAAAAAACAGATCCATCCAATGGGATTTGAGTTATCAAAGATTATGTTTTTTCACGTTTTATCTATCTAGATATTCTGAAAAATTCTCTCATTTTCAAAGCAGCAGTCATCTTGAAAAAATATTTACCAATATGCATCTCTCTACAAAATATTAAGAAAATTGATCAACTAGTATTTTAGTTATGCTCAGAACAGACGGATTAACAGACAGATAGATCACTATATCCCTACCAAATTTCATTCATTGGGATAATTACTCATATCTGTCATTTTGAAAAATGAGGTAAAGAGAAATACCCTACCTGAAGTAAAACTTACATGTTCATGTATCATAAAAATTTTAACAATAAAAATAATTAAAATCATTCTCCATAGCATAAGATTCTACTCTATGCAGGGCAGATCATTGATAGCCAAGCATGATGTTCTGGAAGGGGAGGAACTCTTCATCACTTACTCTCACAAGATGGTATTATGTCTCCCAGGTTCCAGTTGCCATCCTCTCCGCATTGCACAGTTGTAGTCCCACCAAGGAGGTAGGTACCAGGTACGGGGCAAGTGAACCTAGCAACACTTCCAAATGTGTCTCCATCTATACTCAGTTTACCATTAGGCTCTGGGGCAAACAAAGGTCCAGGGCAGTGTGTAACTGAAAATTTAAACAAGGCATTAACATACAAAATGTCCCCACCTGCCATTTGTTACACAAGCTGACTGCCGAACATCATCCACAAAAAGAGACATACATGTTGTACAATATGTCACCACTTGTCATCAGCTGCTTGTGGTGGTAACATAAAAACAAATATTAATATACTATTAGTTAATCTGTTACATTGATGATGATTGAATGCCCAAAACTGAAATAGTTTGAGATTTTCTTACATGAATCATACATGAACATTTGAAATCAATCCATCAAATGGTTCACTTGGAAATGCATAGACAAGACTTTACAGACAAGATTTTAGAATGGAAAACACCAAAATGGCAGACAATAAAAAAAAAAGCAGACATAGGTTTTAGTCAATTTATTAAACAAAATTATCGCATACAACTACAGCAAACCTAATATTTTTAAAGCAACTAAATAGTTTAATAATGACATCTCAAAAAGATCTTATTAATATGATAGAAAGTATTATGGCTTGCTGACTTTTTTAAGATGTTTATTGGAGTCAGAATTAGGGTTTAGGCGTGCATTCAGAGGGATCTGAATTATCAAACATATTTATGGAAACATTCCCACCAGCCTAAACCTAGCTCTACCAAGCCCAATACTGCATGAATGAACTATGAATTTCAAGTAAATTCTAACCTCCAAAGTCTAATACAATACACAGATCTATTTATTTTTGAAGATCTGAAAAGATGATATCTGTACCTGCTTGAAAGTTATAGCATTTATAAACTGTGGAGGTCCAAATTCCAATAAAACCCTAGTTACCATGATAACCAATCAAATTTCAGCTCCCAAAGTCTGATCCAATCATTGTCAAAGATCTGGAAAAATGAGACATGTATCTCCCTTATTTCAAAATTTATAGCATCCATCCAATGTGGGGGTCAGAATTTCTCAAAAACCCTGGTTACCATGGCAACCAATCATATACCAGCTCCCAAAGTACGTTACAATACTTAAAACTAGATAACGGCAACTCCGCGGAGTAGCAAATCCCAACGAACAAAATATCAATTACTGAATTCCAATCAATTATACTCATTACTTTGGTTAAAATTGAAAAAATTAGATTTTAGAATTGCGAATTCCTGCAAAGCACCCATTTTGAATTTTCGGAGATACAAATCTGAAAAATAATACCCTAATTGTGATCTACTCCAAAATTCCTTCAATTTGAGTATAATATAGGCATACTTTGAAGGGATCGAAAAATTATTGCGAAATCGTACATTAGACGGCCATTTTGAATTTTACGAGGCTCGAATCAGAAAAAAAATACAACATCTGCAATCTACTCTTAATTGCCTTTCATTTGAGTATAATAAAGCTATACTTCAGAAAGAAAATTTCTGTTTTCCTGTCCCCCCATGCACGGCCCCTGGGGGTCAGGATGAAAAACACGGAATATATGTGAAATAGATAAATGTTGTGAATATACTACCAAAATTTCAAACAATAATATTAATTACTTTGGTTTAGAATGAAAAATTTATGATTTTTGCGAAAAAGTCCCGTCATTTTTAAAGTGGCGGCCATCTTGAAAAACCTTTTTTGCATAAAACTATTCACCAATATACATCTTTCCACTAAATATGAAGAAAATCCATCTACTAGTATTTGAGTTATCTTCCGGACAGACGGACAGACTGACTGACGGATGGACAGATGGACGGACGAAGGGCTTCACTATATCCCTACCGAACTTCGTTCGTTGGGATAATCAACCATTTACGAAGATCTGAAAAAAATGAGACCTGTATCTCCCTTATTTTATTTTTTTAAAATTTATTTATTTCTTATTTCCTTCAAAATACAAATTATTTACAGTGGACACCTAAAATAGGTGTATATACTGCTTGATAAACATAAATTGAATATAATAATAGCGCAAATAAATAAATAGGTATAAATAAGAGCACATCAATAGTTGTTGGGTAGGAGCAGGAGGAGTGACAGTAAATTGAAGTAGAGTATGATATGGTGATAATCTTAGGACAAATATTGCTGGAGATGATTAATTGTAATTAAATGCCTTTAAGACCCAGAATGATATATTTGGTGATATAGAGTCTAATCTAAAGAAATTTTATCTATCAAATACTTTTTGTATCTTATCTTAAAAATATTCAAAGAAGAACTTCCTCTTATTGGCCTTTCAATACTGTTCCATATCCATTGACCTTGAATCTTATTTCAAAAGTTAATGCATCCATCCAATGTGGGGGTTCGATTCTGCGAAATAGACCCTTGTATAAGTCATGGACCCATATAAGGCCAAAATCTTAGATTCTGTGGACTGATCTTTACATAAGATTGTTGATAGTACATCATAAAAGCTATCTATGAAGTTTTTCACCTTGAAGGAAATGTTGTTCATAATAGATGTTACCATAAACATCTCAGTTTGATACTCGATCAACACTTGAAATTTGACGAGCACATGAAGTGCCTTGTAATAAAGATCAATAAATTGCTTAGTCCGTTGTGTGCTTTGAGGTTAAAGCTACCAAGTAAACATATGCAGAATATTTTCCAATCCTTTATACTACCTCACTTCGAGTACTGTGATATTGTCTTTGGGTGTGCAAGTGCTACTTGTTTGCAACTTCTGGACTCATTATATTACAGATCTGCAGTACATGTCTTTGGGGCTATGCATGGTTCAAGCACGGCAAAGGTCTTAAATGCATTAAACTGGTTACCACTTGAAACACGAAGATATCATCACAGAATGTACCTTATGTATAAAGTATCTAACTCACTGTCCGTCTCCTATGTTAACGAAATTTTTGAGAAATATGAGCATCGTAACATCAATGTAAATCTAAGGCACATTAGAAAGTACCAACTTCCGAGGAAGAGGGGCAGCTTATTGTCACGATCGTGTGTTTTCAGATGCATAACAGAATGGAATGGTCTTAACGCCGACACTAGAAATTCTCAATCATTGACCTCCTTTAAAAGGCGTTTTAAATTGATGCATGGCAACTCATTGATTACAACCATGGATATGGAAATTAAAAGGAGTCAAGAGATACCATTAAATAGAATCAGATGTGATTTATTCCTTCGCTCCCAGTTTCATGCTCACAACTTTACTACTGTGGATTCGCCTGTTTGTTTATGTGGCGTTGAATCTGAAACGTTGAGACATTTTTTCTTCAGATGTAATCTTACAAAGACAACCATGAAAACTTTGTTCAGTGAAGTCCAGCATAATTTCCCAGAAATTAATTTTAAAGTTATGCCCCAACTTGAAAAAATACATACCCTGCTCTATGGTAGCGACATGTTGAGCAAAGCAAAAAACATAGAATTGATAAAACTATTCGCATCTCACCTCGAAACCATAAGTAATCAAAGATTAGAATACTATACGGCCTATTGAACAGCCCCATTTTAGTCACACACATACACATGAAGTGTTTTTATTTTGTATCTTTGATCTATTTATATTATTTATATCATATGTCATTTCAATATATACAAAGACATGGCTAGTAATGCCAGAATGGCACAGCCATTGAAATAAATTTATATAAAAAAAACAAAAAAAACTCCACTTATTCAAAATGGATGCTTTGATCGAGCCAACATGACCAAAACCTAATCAGATATAGAATGAAGTGAGTTGAAGAAGATGTTAAAAGTTTTAAGGGAACAGTGAAGCCTTGATATCTGTTTTTCTACTATATTTGGCATTTTATTCTTTACCCATGTGGTACCTCACTAATGTGCCATATCAAACCATTGTGTCCCGTGTCCATGGATGGACAGACAGACAGATGGCCTAGGCAGACAATATGTCCCCAAACTATGAGGGGAGGGAACATAAAGGAAATGATAAAGTATTGGAAAAGATATCAAATATCAGTTAAACACCATTTTTGGTGAGACAACAGTTGAAGCCTTCCACTTACTGTTACATATTGGATCTGCGTCTGTCCATGTGCCATCACTTAGACACGTCCTCTCTGCAGCACCAATCAGATTGTAGCCTTTGTTACACTTGTACTTGACAACACTGCCAACCTTCCAGCTGTCAGCAATGATGTAACCATTCAAGGGATCTCCAGGATCTCCACATTCCGTAATAGCACCTGCACCTACAGACAAACAAAATAACTATTCACGGGGCCTTGAGGATGTCCACACTCAGTGATAGCTCCATGACAACCATGTAAAGACAACAAATAGAACTGTCTATGGTCTCTGGCCAGGATAAAGATAGCAGGTCCTGTCAGATTAATATGGAGACCTGTTTCTACATATACCTTACAAATATCAATAGGATGGGGAAATTCAACCCCTAAAATAGAATAAGATGGGAAATTTAATCCTTTACAAATAAATAGAACAGATGGGAGAACATTACAGGCTAGAAAAACCTCCAACTCTCCTAAACTTGACGATGATGAACAAAATTCGAGGGGTCTCCACACTCCACACTCAGTGATAGCTCCAGGACCCACAGACAACAAAATAACCATTTTAGTGACCTTTTATTTGCTCATCGTATAGGAAAAATTGTCCATTTTGAAAACTGTTTGGATGGTGTATAAATGGGCCAAATTAGGATGCAATGTATCTCTTTGCTGGTTAATATGTGAGTGTAAACTCTTGGGCAATAGGTAAAAGCTGAAAACATTTATGAAAAGATCGAATTATTTTTTGGTGGATATTTATGAGACGGATACAACGTAACTCTTTAAGGGGTATCCAGGATCTCCACACAGAGTGTTACATGTACTTGTTGTCCAGCCTCGTAGGTCCAGGACCTACAAAATAACCATTCATGGGTCTCCAGGATCTCCAACCCCGGATATCCACACTAAGTTATAACTCCTTGTTTATAGCTCCAGGACTTGCAGACAACAAAATATCTTCATTCTACATTTATATCAATATTTAGATGGATTTAGCCACAAAAGGCCATATTCACGGGAGACAATCAGACTGAAGACAAAGCAGCGGCTGTGACTTGCGCACTACAGTAGGTAACATTAATTGGAAGCTAAGTCCAAATAATAAGATTAAAATTTTGGATATGACATTTAGTAGAACCACCAGTGTTACGGATCTTGTACAGGACAATTTTGAGCCAAAAATACACTTAAGGACCCATGGCCTTGTGGTCATGAGACCTCAGTAGGTGTTTTGTGATTAAGCTGACCAAAATTTGAATCAAAAAAATTAATTTGAAAAACAAACTTTTTTGACCTTTTGGAGCCTACTGAAGGTCAAGTTAAGGTCAAATCTTAAATCTAAGGTCAGCTTTGAACTCCTGAGAACATGAAGATGATTTCTGAAAATAAATTTGGTAAAATTGAAGCAAGTTGAAAAATAACCTATTTTTACCATTTCTTGATGACAAATATCTCAAATATGGTAAAAATGTAATGATGGCATACTCAGTTTTAATTAGTGCAGCCAATGCTGATGGGTGTATGAGGGACAAAATAACATTTTCTGTATAATTTATCCAAGGCAATGATTTATCCAAACCCGCCCTATTGGGTATTGTAGCCTCATTTTGAATTGCGCGAGTCAGAGTCTCAAGCTGTGTCTTTGATTTGATTGTCCACTGTGATATAGGACAACATTATTACAACAGAGCAGCACAGTGCCTTCCATCTTATGCATACATGTTGCGATTGGGCGATGAAACAAGAAGCTCACTAGTTCAAGTCACTGGTGATTTACACTCTTCAGAAAAACTAACAAGGCATTAACATGACAAAATGTGACCACCTAGTTGCTCACAATATTATTGGTTCAATCTTAATGCACTTAGAGCATGCACTTAGAGTTTGCTTTTTCTTATTTTTGAGGTTATGAGCATTGGCTATCAATTTCTAATTTTTTCTTCAACATGAATTGTAATGACTTCAGTATGAATGAAATGTCCCTTGGTCTTTGATTGTGATATCGGTTCTTGAATGGTGGGGGGGAGGGGGTATTGGACATTGTTTCTTTTCACGTTAGATCATGGTTTTGGGCTATATGGGGTTTGTTTTTCTTGACTGGTATGCACTTAGAGTTTGCTTTTTCTTGCTAAGTTCCATTACAACTTTTGGTCCTTTCCCTTTGGCACTAGTGCTTATATATTAAATCAGATTTGAATTCCTGAGAACTTGTAGATGATTTTGAGAAAAAAATTGTCAATTGAAGCAGGTTGAAAAAAGACCTTTTTGACCCCAAGAAGGTCATTGATGGGCAATCATGGTGAAATCTCAAATATTTAAAGTCATCTTTTTTACCTTTTTTGACATTGAAAAGGTCACTGAAAAAGTGTAGATGATTTTGAAAAAAACTGAAGTCAGTCTAAACAGTATTTGTTAAGTTATTGGAAGTTTTAAGAATTTGTTACAGATCCCAACCGCCTACCACCAACCGCCGTCACAAAAAAACAGAGACCATAACAATATGCAGGGGCGGATCTGGGATCCAACAAGGGGGGGGCCCAAATTCCAGGTCATAGAAAAGATGTCCGCGCTTGCGAGAAAAAATTTTTTGGGCCACTAAAACGCAAAAGTGGGCCCAAATTTTGAAATTTTGAGGCCCATTTTCTTCAAAATTTGGCCTGAATTTAAAAAATAAGGCCTTAAAAGGCCCAGTAATGACCAAAAAGGCCGACTTTAGGGGGCCTTTATTGGCCCAAATTTTTTTTTGGGCCCAATTTTTTTTTCTGGGCCCACCCAAGGGGGGGGGCCCGGGCCCCCAGGCCCCCCCCCCCCCTAATCCGCCAGTGATATGTCATCACTTTTTGGTGGTGACATAATGAGATACTGTATATTAGCATATTGACAATTGAATTAAAGTATCAGATTAGTTTAAAAAAGTAGAATATGTCAACCCCAAATATTAAAACTCTAACTTGAATCTCTATCTGTAGAGTGTACATTTGTCAGATAGTCGATCTACTGCTTATCTACCTTTGATGGACAATGATGGTGAAATCTCAAAAATCTAAAGTCAGATTTGAACTTCTGAGAACTTGAAGATGATTTTGAAAAAATTGGTCAATTTGAAGCAAGTTGAAAAAAGACCTCTTTGACCTTGAGAAGGATATTGAAGGTCAAATCTGGTGTAGGATTTGAACTTTGGAGAACTTGCAGATTATTTTGAAAAAAATTGGTCAATTTGAAGCAAGTTGAAAAATAACTTTTTTTTACCTTTTTTGACATTGAAAAGGTCACTGAAGGTCAAATCTTAAATATAAAGTCAGATTTCAACTTCTGAAACTTGCAGATGATTTTGGAAAAAACTGAAGTCAGTATAAACAGTATTTGTTAAGTTATTGGAAGTTTTAAGAATTTGTTACAGATCCCAACCACCGATCGCCAACCGTCATCACAAAAAAACGGAAACCATAACAATATGTCATCACTTTTTGATGGTCACATAATCATAGAATGAGATACTGTATATTAGCATATTGACAATTGAATTAAAGTCTCGGATTAGTTTAAAAAAGTAGAATATGTTAACCCAAAATATTAAAACTCTAACTTGAATCTCTATCTGTAGAGTGTACATTTGTCAGTTAGTCGATCTACTGCTTATCTACCTTTGCATACTGGAATCTTTCCTGCCCACTGTCCTGTGCTGATACATGTCCTAGAGCTTGTCCCAGTCAGAGTAAGACCAGAGTTACATGAGTAGGTAGCGACACTGCTCACTTTCCTGTCCATGCTGAGTGATACCCTACCTCTGGCTGGGTACCCCGGATCTCCACATTGGATCTCTAGAAATAATAGCACATTGTAAATACTGTATATGTGACATCACATTTGTTAGTTCTTGTACAATGACGTTATATCAAATGACATACTGAAAGTGTATCAATGACATAATATCAAATGACATACTGAAAGTGTATCAATGACATGATATCAAATGACATACTGAAAGTGTATCAATGACATGATATCAAATGACATACTGAAAGTGTATCAATGACATGACATCAAATGACATACTGAAAGAGTATCAATGATGAATAATGGGAGATATTTCAAAGCAGTCAGAATTTTCATTGAGTATTCTCTTTTCCCATATTCACTACTGTATTGTCTTCTAACCTAGACATGTTTCCATGATTCCTTCCCAAGTTCCATCAGAGCGACAAGTGAGAGCATTTTCCACTCTGCTACTTGGGAACTTAAAGCCTGATGTGCACTTGTAGATGACCACATCCCCAGTCTTGTAGTTGGCCTTGCTGTTCTGTATCACTCCACTGGTGGATGTGGGGAGCAAATCGGTCCTGCAGCCAATAGCTGCAATATAAATATACAATAAGGGATATACTGGATAGAATAAAACTAAAATACAGCAACTTGACAGAGTAAGAAATCCCACCGAACAAAACATGTTCTGATAAATAGCAGCCATCTTGAAAATTTCTTCTTGATCAAAGCTCCTTTTTCAACATATCAACAAAACATTTGAACCAAATACATGAACTGGTATTTGAGTTATCAAAGATAGCATTTTTCTATGAATTATGATGACCATTTTGAAATTCAGCTGCCATCTTAAAAATTTCTTCTTGAGCAAAACTTCCTCGTCCCTAAGTATCAGCATATAAAATTTGAATCAAATCCATCAACTGGTATTTGGGTTATCAGAGATTACATTTTTAACGAGAAATGTTAGCCATTTTGATAAATAGTAGCCATTTTGAAAAAAACTTTCTTGGGCAGAGCTCCTTTATCGCTGGGCATCAGCATGTATAATTTGAACCAAATCCCTCCACTGGTATTTGAGTTATCGAGGATTACATTTTCTACAAAAAATTGGGGCCATTTTGAAATTCAGTGGGCATCTAGAAAATGTCTTCTTGGGCATAGCTCCTTTATTTCAGGGCATCAGCACACCTCTATAAATTTCAACCAAATCTGCTCACTGGTATTTGAGTTATTGAGATTACGTTCCTTTACAAAAAATGAAATTCATCTTGAAAATTACTTCTCAAGCAGAGCTCCTGTATCCTTAGGCATCAGCAGATAAAATCTAAACCAAATCCATCTGTGGGTATTTGAATTATCAAAGATTACATTTTTGTTAGAAAAATAGCCGCCACTTTGAAATTCAGCAGCCATCTTAGAAAGTTCATCTTGACCAAAGCTCCTTTGTCCCAGTAGGCATCAGCAAATAAATTTTGAACCAAATCTGTCAACTAGTGTTTGAGTCATATTAAAAATTGCTTCTCGAGCAGAGGTCCTTCACACATAAGGTATAAGCCTAGGAAAATGTAATAATCTGTCAAGCAGAATTTGGGTTTCAACCCAGACAGGGCAACGTACAAACGGATGAACAGACAGATGGTCAGCAGCTTCTCTACATCACATCAAACGAAGGGATAATAATTTCATTTAAATCAAAAATTAAAGCACTTTTTATTAGGACCACCTATCTGCACTCCCAGGACAGCAACAAACATTACTCTTACAAGAGAGAGATGTAGCACCTCTTGATTGATTATAACATAATAAATAGAGATTATCCTATCTGAGGTTCAAGATATTGGGATTATCCTGAGGCCAATATAATATAAATGGTCGAGGGCCTTATTAATAGGTCCCAAGGGGATATATATAATATTGGCCGAGGGATAAACAGATCATCCCATACCAATCTTGCTCATCTGGTTCCCATTATTCAATTGACCAAAATTAAGAAGGAGTCTAAAGATTCTTTTCGAATATCCATGTCCAGCTTTATTTTCTTGGCCATGGCCAGATTTTCCTATCCTTTCAGATAAGATGGAAATATAAGTTTTTACAAACCTGCTTAATAATGTACATGAAACATATTCAAGTATGGGATAATATAGCTAATTGTTAATTCCTTTACCTTTATATTCCATCCAGAATCCCTTGGCCTTTCTGTTGGCCAGTGTAGTAGACTTAAGTGTAATCTTTGCAGTGTTAGACACACTTGTCAGCTTATTCAGGATGTCTGTCTGAGGACCACATAGGTTAGGTACATCTCCAAATCCAGTGAAACCAACATTTTCTTCATTACATGCATCTGGCCTCATGTCCACTTCTAAGAAGAATAGTTCTATTTGTTGTCCTGGACCCACCTGGTGTCATTGAATATATAATATTACTCAGACTTGAGGGAATGCTGATTTAAAATGTGTTATATCAATGTGATCATTTCATTAAATGATTGCTAATGGATTTGTATGGCTTAACTGTAATTTACTTGGAAAGCAAAATAACATGTAATATGCAGCTTTATTTAATGGTGTTGAACTTTCATATGATTTGATTGTTCCTTTTGATGTAAATATATCCTTTTATTTCATCCCACAATATTCAGAGGTGAAAAGCATTGGTAAGATTGTCCAGTAAACAATATATATAAAAATTACACAAACTGAATGATTTTGTTAGAAGAAATGGGCATACAAAGATATTATTGCCTCTGCAATAACAGTTAAAATATCAGTAGCTCTGGTGGCTCATTCCTCCTGTTTCTATGACAACCATAATTTTTTGCCATTTATGGTAATGTGCTTAAATGTGCCAAATTCCAATGGAAATGAACAAATATAAATATGAATAAAAATAGTACTGTGGGTACTTGGCTTATATGGTGCCTATTGGTAACCAGCACTTTCAGTAGGTTTGTCAAAGAGTGCGTTCCTGGGACGGATTGACTTTTAAAAGTGAGTCTTCCCTCAAAAAAGTGTGTCCCGTGAAAAAAGGTTACCGGTAATTCAAAGTCACATTTTAACAATGAACAAAAAAGTTTATGAAAAGTTTCAAATGAGTTTTGTTATTTATCAGCCTAAATCAGTGTTCTACACACATCTTTTCGTATTTTGAAGCAATTTGCTTTTAATTTTGTATAGCTCAGAAAATTTCACTAAAGGCAATTTCTGCGAGGTTCCATTTATTAGTTCCGTTTTATGCGCATGCAGCAACTTGGTTAGTTAAAATTATTAAGACGCATGTGCGATTAATAATCGCGGCTTACCATAGGACTTGTACCAATTACCGCTCAGTACTGCCAGACTGTAGCAACTAGTGATTCTCCTTTCACCTGTACAATTTGAAGCAAATTGATGGAATACTTGTGCAATTATAACCAAAAAAACTAAAGCCATTTTGAATATTTACACCATATTTTGCTGCAATGTGTAGACATAATTCATAACCAAGAAATTAAGGTACCTGAACAATATCAAGCAAATTGATGGAATACTTGTGGGGTTAAAATGAAAAAATAGTTAAAAATAATTTCAAGCAAATTGAGGGAACACTTGTGGAGTTATGGACCAAAAATAAGATGAAAACCTGATTTTTCTGCAATAAAAGTGGTAACCATTTTGCAAGTTTGCGATTTGTTTTGCCAAAACTTGTACGTAGGTATTATTGATAACACATAAATTAAGGAACTTGTACAATTTGAAGCAAATTAGTGAAAAACTTGTGGAGTTATAAACCAAAAATGAACTGAAAACCTGATTTTTGTGCAATAAAAATGGTCGCCATTTTGAAACAAGGTGAGCTTTTGAGACACCGCTTATAGAACAATTAATTACCTCATGTAGACACATTTTAAAAGTGAAATCGTTCCAGTTGTCGTGGAGGATTTTGAATAAGGTGCCAATGTGTTGACAGACAGACAGATGGACGGACGGACAGAAGGACAGATAGACAGACAGACAGACAGACAGATGGACAGATGGACAGATGGACAGACAAATGGGTGATATCAATTAATAGCTCACCCATGTGAGTTAATAAAGCAAAAAGTAGTGAACATATTGATGGGCCCTTGTATAGCACTTTTTAAAGTGCCATAAAAAATCATTGTTACCATGTACCTGTATATTCCATATGCAGAACCTGTTGTCCCCATATGTAATAGAAGGGTAACCAGGACTGAGAATTTCCCCTTTGTCTTTAGTGTATTTGCCTCCACAGTCAGGGAAGGCTGCAATAATGTAACATTTATAAATATAACATATAGTCTTCTTTGGGGTAGCCTAGACTTAGGATGTCTCCTGTATGTTCTGTATATTTGCCTCCACAGTCAGGGAAGGCTGCAATAATGTAACATTTATAAATATAACATATAGTCTTCTTTGGGGTAGCCTAGACTTAGGATGTCTCCTGTATGTTCTGTGTATTTGCCTCCACAGTCAGGGAAGGCTGCAATAGTGTAACATTTATAAATATAACATATAGTCTTCTTTGGGGTAGCCTACACTTAGGATGTCTCCTGTATGTTCTGTATATTTGCCTCCACAGTCAGGGAATGCTGCAATAGTGTAACATGTATAAATATAACATATAGTCTTCTTTGGGGTAGCCTAGACTTAGGATGTCTCCTGTATGTTCTGTGTATTTGCCTCCACAGTCAGGGAAGGCTGCAATAGTGTAACATTTATAAATATAACATATAGTCTTCTTTGGGGTAGCCTAGACTTAGGATGTCTCCTGTATGTTCTGTATATTTGCCTCCACAGTCAGGGAAAGCTGCAATAATGTAACATTTATAAATATAACATATAGTCTTCTTTGGGGTAGCCTAGACTTAGGATGTCTCCTGTATGTTCTGTATATTTGCCTCCACAGTCAGGGAAGGCTGCAATAGTGTAACATTTATAAATATAACATATAGTCTTCTTTGGGGTAGCCTAGACTTAGGATGTCTCCTGTATGTTCTGTGTATTTGCCTCCACAGTCAGGGAAGGCTGCAATAGTGTAACATTTATAAATATAACATATAGTCTTCTCTAGGGTAACCTGGACTGACTCAATTATATCTAATTTGCTAGTCAAATACATGTGTTGGAGGATAACAATCATATGGACATATTAAAACTTATTCTATTTTATGAGTAAGAAATATCAAACAACCCCTTTTTGGGAGGTGGTCGCAAACATACTTTATAAACACATGGAAAATTATCAATAGACTTGATACTACTGTACATAGCTTCGAGTTTATATTAGCAAACTTTGATTTTTGTCTAAAAAGTCATCCTTATGCTATTTTTAAGAAAAGTAAGTAATATTTTCAACACATACATCATGGTTGTCTTGGCAAAAAAATGGAACAAAAAATTAACCTTTAATTACCTTTACTTTACCTATACTGTATCAATTATCATAAATAAGGCCACGATACAATGAGTAATATGTTAACAATCAAAGGCCTACTTGTATATTCCATATAGTATCCTCTGCTTGTCCTGTAGTTACTCTCCCTTGTCAGTTCAATGCAGACAGTTGTACCAGTCGAGTAGAGAATGTCCTCTGTATTTGGACTTCCAGGTTTAATGGAATTCCTGTACCTCCGCAGACGTGGACTATGAGCAATGAAGAAGTTGTCATTACAGTTATTTCCATCATAAACTGTAAGTTTATCTCCTGGGTTGAGGTCGTAATCTTGGACACTGATGCGAAGGCGCATGTTGGCAGTGGGAGATTTCATACGCACTATACACTTGCTTCCTGGACCAGGATAAGAGTTAGGGTAATTCGGAGAGCTTACGGCACCAAAGTTTGGCTGTTGGATTACACCACCACAGTTCGCAACTGGAAATAAACTAGAAGTTCAATATGACTGGTCCAATTCCTGTTCCGTTCAGTTTTTGAGAAAACAAAAACAAGTGCACCCACACATATAACTGTTAATACCAGAATTAGATATTCCTCAAAAATATTGTTTTGTTTAATATACAAAATTCTGTCACGAGACAGTATGAACTCTGTGTTCTACCTGTAACTATAGGTGGTGCTGGTGTTGAGCTAGGATAGACTCCGCCCCCACGTACACACGGCTCTACTGCCTGTGACCATTTGCCATTGGACAGACATGTCACAGTGTAACTAGAGGCTCCCTTGGCCTGGAATCCTAATTTACAAGTGACAATCACAGTGTCACCATAAGTGTCCCCGTTAGACATGATATCTGCATTGGTCACATTCACAATCCTTCCACAGCTTTGGGCTTAAAAGGGAAGAGTTTAATTAAAGTTCAGTGCATGAGCATAAAAAGATCAAATAACAACAGATTAAGTTTATTTTGTATATATTGTACATTTTCTATAACTGTAGTGCACGCAAATAGGAATAATCAAACATTATTGAATTGTAAGGTACTACATGTTTAATGTATTAACACATAATTAAATGCTTACAGACACAAATAGGGGCATCTCCAGCCCATTTGCCATCAGCGCCACATTTCCTTGTTGCCACTCCACTCAGTCTGTAGCCCTTGTTACACATATAGAGGGCAGTGTCTCCAAAGTCCAGACCTGACACACTCACCGTACCAAATGGATGTACATCGGGCTGTGTACAATGGGTCACTACAAATGAATAACATTATTTAAACATGTACCAAATGGATGTACACCGGGCTGTGTACAATGGGTCACTACAAGTCAATAACATTATTTAAACATGTACAAAATGGATGTACATCGGGCTGTGTACAATGGGTCACTACAACTCAATAACATTATTTAAACATGTACCAAATGGATGTACATCGGGCTGTGTACAATGAGTCACTACAAGTCAATAACATTATTTAAACATGTACCAAATGGATGTACATCGGGCTGTGTACAATGGGTCACTACAACTCAATAACATTATTTAAACATGTACCAAATGGATGTACATCGGGCTGGGTACAATGAGTCACTACAAGTGAATAACATTATTTAAACATGTACCAAATGGATGAACATCGGGCTGGGTACAATGATTCACTACAAGTCAATAACATTATTTAAACATGTACCAAATGGATGTACATCGGGCTGTGTACAATGGGTCACTACAAGTGAATAACATTATTTAAACATGTACCAAATGGATGTACATCGGGCTGTGTACAATGGGTCACAACAAGTGAATAACATTATTTAAACATGTACCAAATGGATGTACATCGGGCTGTGTACAATGGGTCACTACAAATGAATAACATTGTTTAAACATGTACCAAATGGATGTACATCGGGCTGTGTACAATGGGTTACAACAAGTGAATAACATTATTTAAACATGTACCAAATGGATGTACATCGGGCTGTGTACAATGGGTCACTACAAATGAATAACATTGTTTAAACATGTACCAAATGGATGTACATCGGGCTGTGTACAATGGGTCACTACAAATGAATAACATTGTTTAAACATGTACCAAATGGATGTACATCGGGCTGTGTACAATGGGTTACAACAAGTGAATAACATTATTTAAACATGTACCAAATGGATGTACATCGGGCTGTGTACAATGGGTCACTACAAATGAATAACATTATTTAAACATGTACCAAATGGATGTACATCGGGCTGTGTACAATGGGTCACTACAAATGAATAACATTGTTTAAACATGTATCAAATGGATGTACATCGGGCTGTGTACAATGGGTCACTACAAGTGAATAACATTGTTTAAACATGTACCAAATGGATGTACATCGGGCTGTGTACAATGGGTCACTACAAATGAATAACATTGTTTAAACATGTACCAAATGGATGTACATCGGGCTGTGTACAATGGGTTACAACAAGTGAATAACATTATTTAAACATGTGCCAAATGGATGTACATCGGGCTGTGTACAATGGGTCACTACAAGTGAATAACATTGTTTAAACATGTACCAAATGGATGTACATCGGGCTGTGTACAATGGGTCACTACAAGTCAATAACATTATTTAAACATGTACCAAATGGATGTACATCGGGCTGTGTACAACGGGTCACTACAAATGAATAACATTGTTTAAACATGTACCAAATGGATGTACATCGGGCTGTGTACAATGGGTTACAACAAGTGAATAACATTATTTAAACATGTACCAAATGGATGTACATCGGGCTGGGTACAATGATTCACTACAAGTCAATAACATTATTTAAACATGTGCCAAATGGATGTACATCGGGCTGTGTACAATGGGTCACTACAAATGAATAACATTGTTTAAACATGTACCAAATGGATGTACATCGGGCTGTGTACAATGGGTCACTACAAATGAATAACATTGTTTAAACATGTACCAAATGGATGTACATCGGGCTGTGTACAATGGGTCACTACAAGTGAATAACATTGTTTAAACATGTACCAAATGGATGTACATCGGGCTGTGTACAATGGGTTACAACAAGTGAATAACATTATTTAAACATGTACCAAATGGATGTACATCCGGCTGTGTACAATGGGTCACTACAAGTGAATAACATTATTTAAACATGTACCAAATGGATGAACATCGGGCTGGGTACAATGAGTCACTACAAGTCAATAACATTATTTAAACATGTGCCAAATGGATGTACATCGGGCTGTGTACAATGGGTCACTACAAATGAATAACATTGTTTAAACATGTACCAAATGGATGTACATCGGGCTGTGTACAATGGGTCACTACAAATGAATAACATTGTTTAAACATGTACCAAATGGATGTACATCGGGCTGTGTACAATGGGTCACTACAAGTCAATAACATTATTTAAACATGTACCAAATGGATGTACATTGGGCTGTGTACAACGGGTCACTACAAATGAATAACATTGTTTAAACATGTACCAAATGGATGTACATCGGGCTGTGTACAATGGGTCACTACAAATGAATAACATTGTTTAAACATGTACCAAATGGATGTACATCGGGCTGTGTACAATGGGTCACTACAAATGAATAACATTGTTTAAACATGTACCAAATGGATGTACATCGGGCTGTGTACAATGGGTCACTACAACTCAATAACATTATTTAAACATGTACCAAATGGATGTACATCGGGCTGTGTACAATGGGTCACTACAAGTCAATAACATTATTTAAACATGTACCAAATGGATGTACATCGGGCTGTGTACAACGGGTCACTACAAATGAATAACATTGTTTAAACATGTACCAAATGGATGTACATCGGGCTGTGTACAATGGGTTACAACAAGTGAATAACATTATTTAAACATGTACCAAATGGATGTACATCGGGCTGTGTACAATGGGTCACTACAAGTCAATAACATCATTTAAACATGTACCAAATGGATGTACATCGGGCTGTGTACAATGGGTCACTACAAGTGAATAACATTATTTAAACATGTACCAAATGGATGAACATCGGGCTGGGTACAATGATTCACTACAAGTCAATAACATTATTTAAACATGTGCCAAATGGATGTACATCGGGCTGTGTACAATGGGTCACTACAAATGAATAACATTGTTTAAACATGTACCAAATGGATGTACATCGGGCTGTGTACAATGGGTCACTACAAATGAATAACATTGTTTAAACATGTACCAAATGGATGTACATCGGGCTGTGTACAATGGGTTACAACAAGTGAATAACATTATTTAAACATGTACCAAATGGATGTACATCGGGCTGTGTACAATGGGTCACTACAAATGAATAACATTGTTTAAACATGTACCAAATGGATGTACATCGGGCTGTGTACAATGATTCACTACAAGTCAATAACATTATTTAAACATGTGCCAAATGGATGTACATCGGGCTGTGTACAATGGGTCACTACAAGTGAATAACATTATTTAAACATGTACCAAATGGATGTACATCGGGCTGTGTACAATGGGTCACTACAAATGAATAACATTGTTTAAACATGTACCAAATGGATGAACATCGGGCTGGGTACAATGAGTCACTACAAGTCAATAACATTATTTAAACATGTGCCAAATGGATGTACATCGGACTGTGTACAATGGGTCACTACAAGTGAATAACATTATTTAAATATGTACCAAATGGATGAACATTGGGCTGGGTACAATGAGTCACTACAAGTCAATAACATTATTTAAACATGTGCAAAATGGATGTACATCGGGCTGTGTACAATGGGTCACTACAAATGAATAACATTGTTCAAACATGTACCAAATGGATGAACATCGGGCTGGGTACAATGAGTCACTACAAGTGAATAACATTATTTAAACATGTACCAAATGGATGTACATTGGTCTGTGTACAATGACTCACTACAAGTGAATAACATTATTTAAACATGTACCAAATGGATGTACATCGGGCTGTGTACAATGGGTCACAACAAGTGAATAACATTATTTAAACATGTACCAAATGGATGTACATCGGGCTGTGTACAATGGGTCACAACAAGTGAATAACATTATTTAAACATGTACCAAATGGATGTACAGCGGGCTGTGTACAATGGGTCACTACAAGTGAATAACATTATTTAAACATGTACCAAATGGATGTACATCGGGCTGTGTACAATGGGTTACAACAAGTGAATAACATTATTTAAACATGTACCAAATGGATGTACATCAGGCTGTGTACAATGGGTCACTACAAGTGAATAACATTATTTAAACATGTACCAAATGGATGAACATCGAGCTGGGTACAATGGGTTACAACAAGTGAATAACATTATTTAAACATGTACCAAATGGATGTACATCGGGCTGTGTACAATGGGTTACAACAAGTGAATAACATTGTTTAAACATGTGCCAAATGGATGTACATCGGGCTGTGTACAATGGGTCACTACAAGTCAATAACATTATTTAAACATGTGCCAAATGGATGTACATCGGGCTGTGTACAATGGGTCACTACAAGTCAATAACATTGTTTAAACATGTACCAAATGGATGTACATCGGGCTGTGTACAATGGGTCACTACAAGTGAATAACATTATTTAAACATGTACCAAATGGATGTACATCGGGCTGTGTACAATGGGTCACTACAAATGAATAACATCATTTAAACATGTACCAAATGGATGGAGATTGGGCTGTGTACAATGAGTCACTACAAGTCAATAACATCATTTAAACATGTACCAAATGGATGTACATCGGGCTGTGTACAATGGGTTACAACAAGTGAATAACATTATTTATCCCACGATTAATGTGTTATCTGTACAATAACAGCTATTGATATTTCTGATATTATTAAAATCCGTGTGATATTTTCCAGAAAATCGTTTATCAAACTCTTATGCGTGTGATATCGTTTATCTCACGCATATCCGTGTGATATCACATTTGCATTTCGCGCCACAATATTGTTGGAACTTAGGTCAGATAATTTATTCTCTTTTGGGAAAATAGGTCCGTTAATTTATTCTCTTTAAGTTTCATTGATGTATTGAATTACGATTGTGTATATAATTTGATTAGAAGGCTGCTAACTAACGATTAAAAATGGTATTTATGACGAACTATATCATGTTATTTACTTTTAATTGTTAAAATAAAGTGTTTCAAATATTCAATTGATATTCTAATTTCTAGTTTATATTGTCTGCCAATGTCCTGGAAATTGGATCAGAACATCACAAGGTGATTGTAATCATGTGATAAACCCAATATGACATAATTTCTCGTGATATCATTTTATCGCCTCGTAGATATCAAATATCAACACTCATTCGCTTCGCTCACTCGTGTTGATATTTGCTATCAACTCGGCGATAAAAATGATATCACTCAAAATGATGTGATATTCTGTATTTATTCCATAATAACATGTTTCCCCGGGAAAATAACAGGGAATAAAATTGATATTCAAAAAATTTACATATCAGCCAAAATCCCGTAAATCCAGTAATTTCTCTAGTGTTATTAATCATTTATATTTTTAATTAAAACTTGTTAATAAAAGTAGAAAATGTTATATGATAAATTGTATCATTTTATGTCACAATCATTGGGTGATGACATATAAAAATTAAAAGTAAGTTTTAGAAAATCATTATTGAATAAATAGGTTATTGATGGTCGTGATGGAATATGAATTTTTTCCTTGAGGCCGATATTGGCCTCAGAAAATATCATATTGACACTCGGGCTATCGCCCTCAATCAATTTGACATCTATTTTTGTTAATTACAAAATATACAAAGAAATCATGCATTTTTGTGAATTCAGCTTACTTGAACAAGTTGGTGGTATGCCACTCCATCCACCTTCCACGCAGGTTCTTAAGCTCTGTCCATTGAGCGAGTAACCCTCCATGCAACTGTAAAATGCCAGGTTACCAAAGCTGTTGCCATCGACCTTCACCATTCCATTCTTAGGGTTTGGTAGGGTCATGTTGCATGAAATTGCTGTAATAAAAGGCAAATACTATGTCAAATACAGAAAAATGGGGATATTAGGTTTTTTGACTGTCAGGCTTGCAATTATATGATTGGTCAAAATCTGGTGACTTGTCATGGAAGATCTAAAAAATGTTCACTGGTCATGCTCACTCAGTAAATTATATAGTTATACAAATTATCATAGTTAGCATTACATATTATACCGGTTTGAACATAAACATAGTTCAGAGCTATTAGAATTCCGTTTTTCTGCACCGCAACAGAAAAAAGTAGAATTTTTAGTTTTAGTTTTGCAAAAGTTTGCAGAATATAGAATTTCTGTTGATTTTTGCGCAATTCATGCTTTGAAAACATAAATTGAACTGAAAGCTTACCTAGCCTTGTTGTAGGTGCTTGTAGATCATTTGAATCAATTTTAGCTCACTTTTGTAGCGATTTAAACAGAAAACGTTTTATTTTTTGAGGCTGCTTTGTAAGGAACACCAAAATATAAGAAGACTAGGAACACGTTTTCTATTGCTCCTAGCCAATATATCATCTTTATATTGTTACTAAATATAATTGTGTCCAAATACATGTACACATTAGAAATATATGGCGGTTTTATTTTGATTTTCACACTATTTTGGCAAAAATTCCATGAAAAAATCCATGTTAAAATGCAGAATTTTTGCAGAATTTCACATTTTAGCTTGCAGAAATTTGATTTTTTCTTGCAGAATTTGCATTTTGTAGCACAGAATTCTAGTAGCTCTGATAGTTAGAAAGTACATAATATCATATAAAATTAAATGACATTACACCATATCTAATGCATCAAAAATATATCAGTGATAAGTACAGGCATGGGTTCAGGGCTCAGGAGGGCTATCATTTCAATACTTTCAGAGATAATACTTCTCAAGTTAAATTTTTTTTTAATCTTTAAAAAGGTTTTTGCCAACTGACTAATGTCATAATGATGTCACCTAGGGTGCAAAATATTTTTAATATGCTACAACATCGAAGTGGCACATCAAATATGACATGTTATTATTGAAAAGTGTGTTCTTTGTTCAATCTTTGCATTAATTGGTGTTAAAACATATTTTCAATCCTTACATTGGGCTTTTAACAATAACAATTTTGATCACATATGGTTTTCTAACTCATATTTATCAGCAATATTTCAAATGCAGACCTTAATATTATATCTCAAGATGAGCTTATAAAAACAGCAGCTGCTAAATTTTGTGTTAACTGCTGGTGTATGAAAAATAATATTAATCCGGCCCACAGCAATGAGAGCAGTAGGCTGTGAGAGGTTCCCCACCTTTGAGTAATTATGTCTTAATATACAGGGTGTTCAAAAAAAAACGCAACCCAAAGAAATCGCTGTATCTTGAAAAATAGTGGTTCAATTATGTTCATATTTTCAGGAAATAAAGGAGAGACTGTGTATGTATAGCTCCTGTAAATGGTTAGTTGTAAAATATGATGCCTTGGACACCTGCTCAAAAGACAGTTGTACTAGGAAAATACGAAAAACGCAGTCAGGGGTGACTGCAACCTCAAATAAAAAATTGAATAACTTTTTAACCATAGTGTTTTTGCTCTTCAAATTTGTCACAAATCATCTTCATTCACTGTATGGTAAATCTGTAGAGTGAAATCAAAATCACTTCAGGGACTTTACAGTCATGGTTGAAATGATTTCAAATCGCACTCAAACACCCTGGTTCAGGGAGACTTAAGAAGGCATTTTGACCATGACTGTAAAGTCCCTAGAGTGATTTTGATGAAACTCCACAAATTCACCACACATTGAATGAGGATAATTTGTGCCAAATCTGAAGTGCCAAAACCATGGTTAGAAAGTTATTTGGTTTTATTGTTGTGGCTGTCACCTCTAACTGCGTTTTCATGTTTTCCTAGAACAACTGTCATTGGAGCAGGTGTTCAAGGCATCATGTTTTACAACTTACTGACAACAGGAGCTATACATACACAGTCTCTTCTTTCTTTTCCTGAAAAAATGAACATAATTGAATTAGTATTTTCCAAGATATAGTGATTTTCCATTCGCGTTTTTCGTATTTTGCTAGTACAACTGTCTTTTGAGCAAGGGTCCAAGACATCATGTTTTACAACTAACTAACAACAGGGGCTACACAGTCTCTTCTTTCTTTCCTGAAAATATGAACATAATTGGATGAGTATTTTCCAAGATATAGCGATTTCCTTGGGTTGCGTTTTTTTTAACACCCTGTACACAAAAAAAGAATCCTTTCTATATATACTGTTTGCTTATATGGATATAAATTAGAAGCAAAATCCAACAATATAAAGCTTAAAATATGACCAAATTGATCTGTATGGCTATAAATTATGGACTGAACCATATGCCTGTAAAATATGAATATGACTAAAATTGACTATTTGAGTTAAAAGTAAAATCCAGAATGACAAACAGAGGCTCTGTCTATATCTCAAACTTTGTTTAATGAGATGATGAGACAAGTGCATATAAAGCCTGCTTATAAAGTATGCATGTAAGCAGATGCATTTGGTTGGGAATGATGAATTTGAAAATGCTGCTCCTCACTGTTATGATGCTTTGTGGCATACTTGCTATTACAAAGACTCAGGAACTAAGTGGAGATGTCAATGTGATGAAAGGTATGCAAATATGATTAGCCTTTAGCAGATTAATTGATGTAGATGCAGCTCAGCTAGAAGTGATGTGAAAAGTTGTTCAATATTTAAAATTTTGTGAAGCTGACTGACCTGCTGGATGAAACAACTGAATTATTGTGAAATAACTTTTTAATTGTATATGCTTGTAAGGAGAGGTAAGTATGTAAGTAAAACGTATTGACCTGAAATTAGATGTGAACTGGTGAAGTATATTCAAAAGCGACATGAACAAGGAATTAATATGACAAATCGCATTATCTAGTTGCTCACAATATTCAATTCTGACGTCTTATTTGAGCTTCTGAGAACTTGTAGATGATTTTGAAAAAAACTGGTCAATTTGAAGAAAGTTAAAAAAATACCTTTTTGACTTTTTTGACTTTGAAAAGGTCATTAACGAATCTTAAGTTAGATTTGAAAGGATATTAACTGTATTGATGAATGGATGAAATGTAATAAGATGAATTTAAACTATAGTAAAACAAGATTAATGAAAATAGGAAATACCTCAAAGTATGGAATTGATAAAGATGCCATATAACATTATCAAATAATGTAATTGAAAATGTTGAAACTTGTAAATATTTAGGTGTTATTGTGGATGACAAATTAGCATTCAAAGTACTTATTGACAAGCCCATGATATTGAAAAGCTTTCTTGTAAGATAGGTATTTTTAGAAGGCTTAAACCATTTGTTTCAAAGGAAGCACTCATCACAATTTATAATACAATCATATTACCAGAATTTAATTACTGCTCTGGGGAGAATGTTATAATAAAATCTATCTGACTAGACTAGAGAAACTTCAAAAGATGGCAGCACAAATTAAACTGGGAGCTAATTTTGATGTTTCAAGTGGCACTTTACTTGAGTCCCTAAATTGGACTCCAATTCAGGAAATGATTAGATACAGGAAATCAATTTTAATGTACCAGACCATTTCAGGCATCTCTCCCCCATATATTTAGAACTGTTTCAAAGAGACAAAGTCTGTCCATAATTATGCTACTAGAGCAGTTGTGGAAAATTCACTTTATGTACCAAAACCTAAACTTGAAATATTTAAGAAAAGCATATCATATAGCGGTTCACATCTTTGGAACAAGCTTGATAAGACTGTCAAAGAGTCTGATTCTGTAAACTCAAAGCATATAAACAATTGTATCAGATCAGAAAATGAAAATTATGTAAATGCATTATTTAAAGACATTGTTCCTTATATTCATGTAATTCTATAATACAGTAAGTTGTTCTCTATGTTTCATGTAAATGCATACTTTGAAGATGCATATATATGAAATTGTTCCATATGTCCTATATATCTATTTGTATGTTTCTATATTTATTGTACATATTGTAAATAATTGTAAATTATTACTGGGCCTCTAGGAAGACCAGTTTTGTACTGATAGAGCTACCCAGAATAAATATAGTTTTCAAATCAAATCAAATCAAATCAACTTCTGAAAACTTGTACAGTAGATGATTTTGAAAAAAACTGAAATCAGTATTTGTTAATTTCTTGGAAGTTATTGATAGAGGTCCAATAAATAAATGAGCCATGTTAACATGAAAAGGGAGAAGAAGGTCATGAACGCAAATATGCAGGTTGGCCCGAAAATTAACATTTTACAATGTGTTAAGTATATTATGGCTACATTATGCATCATGCTTGCTAAATGAACAACTGATGCTATGATAAAAAGATGCTTTGAGAAAAGGCATTAACGTGACAAAATAGCACCACCTAGTTGATCACAATATTATGAGTTCAATCTTAAGTCAGATTTTAACTTCTGAGAACTTGTTGATTTCCAAAAAGTAGTCAATTTGAGGCAAGTTGAAAAATACCTTGAGAAGGGCATTGTAGATGATTTTGAAAAAAACTTGTAAAGTCAGATTTGAACAACTGAGAAATTGTAGATGGTTTTGAAAAATAATTGGTCAATGAGAAGCAAGTTGAAAAATACCTTTTTGACCTTGAGAATATCACTGAAGGTCAAATGCCAAATCTAAAGTCATTCAAGAGTTGACCAATATGTTAATTTTGGATATTGTAGGACCTAATTAACTTGTTTTGACATGATTAAAATGCAAAACTATTATCATAAATTTTTGAAAAAATAATAAAATGTTGTAAAACATTTATTTTGAATTGAACGTTTGATTACATTACATTTACCAAAATAAAGTTAAACAAGTATTTATTGATCACAGCCTAAACTAGGATTTGGAAATAGCCTGGGAAACAAATTGAATTTGATAATATTGAACAGGTAGTCAATATGTTTACTTTTTGTTTTCTATTAAAATGGATATTGATATTTT